ACTCCTGTTTATTCTCCCTGGGAGCTTGACTGCTTGGATGGCAGAGGTCCTAGATCAGCTGGGGCAGCTTGTTGTAATCTGCTCTGCTTTGCTAGGAGTCAGGAGCCAGAATGAATCACCCCACCCACACAACTGCTGCTAGCTGATCAGGCGACTCCCCTTCAGTCAATCAGCAAACAGCTGATCTGGAACTTCGCTTTAATTGTTTTTAGAAAACAAAAGACTGTTTGCTGGGCTAGTGCTGGCCTCTGCCTGCCTCTGTCTCTTCTTCCACTACAACCCTGCTGCCAAACCTCTGTTTGCTCACTTTGGTTGCTCGCTCCCTGAGAGTGTGGCTGCTTGTCTGCCAGAGGCCCTAGACCGGCTGAGGCAGCTGGCTCTGCTCTGCTCGTAGTCCACTTCTTTCTGTGTCTCTTGGTTAGAGCTGAGCCCTCAACAAATGTCAGATTTTTCTTCTGAAACCTTTGCATCCACCACAGGTCTTTTTTCAGTTTCTGCCCTACCTCCTTAAAAATAAACCTTTTGTTTCCCAGTCTGTAGCATGATTTTTCTATCACAGTTGGCTGAGGAGAGGAGTAGAAAGGGACAGTGTCAAAAAGACAGCCAGTGGCAGGATAATTATTCCTAGTATCTTCAAGCTAGAGGAAAGTAACCAAAGCAAGGAACAATTCATAAGTAATGAAGGCCTTGTATGCTCCTCTCATAAATATGGCACTACCCCCTAGAGACAGAAATGTATCTTGAATTTATGGGTTCTGTATTTACAGCAGTGGTGGGCAGAAATTAAGAGTTAGATCTACCTCTAGAACATTGCCTGAGCCAAAATCACAGTGTTCAAAGCAAGCAAGCAAGCTTGGCATAACCAGAGGTGGATTTTTCTGTGAAAGAACTGGGAGCTACATTCATGTTTTGATATTCAGAACAAATTCCTAGTCTCCAAATTAATTTCTAAATGTACAACAATTTACCAGACTCAGAGTTGGTGGTTCTCAGTGGGGTAGTTGTAAAAAAATAAAAGTAGATCCCAGATCCCACAAACGTGAAGTCTGCCCATCCCATCAATATAAGAATAGCGATCATTTGAAACTATAGATAATTTTACACAAAAATATTCATGTTACATATCTGCAGCAAGTAAAACTTTGTTAAGGCAATATTTGATCAGATTCATAAAATTTAATTGTTCCCAGGAACATGCAGTTAGTCTGTTGGGTGAGAACTGGGAGGGCACAACCATTTTTGTCCCCATCTTCTGCAAGTTCATATGTCAAAAATCCACTTCACTTTCAGGTTGTAATAAATGATGTTTGACCAAGAATAGGTGGATACTTGCGAAGCACTGTAAATGTAACCGCTCTTGGTATTTACTAAGTGGTAATCGGAACTGGAACTAAATTGCACCCATATGTTCTCTTGACGTTTTCCATTGGAAACACTGGGTCTAAACCTGCAAGGCCAAGGTTGAGGACCCAAAAGTTGAGGGCTCAAAATTTTGTGGAATAGTCTCTGTATTTGATAGCCAGTGATATATAATCTCAATATTTGATAGTGATAGATGGCTGAAATGCAACAGTCTTAGTATTTGATAGTCCTAAGACGACATATCTTAGTGGCCTTGAAGCTCTTTATTCCCTGAAAGTACTTTCCCCATTGGCTTGCTTGCCAAGGAGACTTTTATGTCTGCCTCAGAAACCCTGCACATTACAGAGGGTTTCTGGGCATGTTTATGTGTGCCCACTACGCTTATGTGAGATAGCATCAGATCTTGCCATCACTCATTGAACTGAACTGAGCTGAAAGCATGCCAGAGGCCTAGAATGGGGACAAGCAGCCTGGTGTCTTCAGCTCTTATAATTACTGACCATACTGGTTTCATGGGAATTATAACACAAAATATCTGATCAGTGCGCCAGGTTGCATACCTCTGGCCTAGGACAAACGTCTGTATGGCTTTGTATTGCAGAGGAAGATCATAAGTGAACAAAGTGTCTGTTTCAGAGAAGCATGATTAAAGCTTCCCAGCATGCTATAATTAATGCATCCTGGTAAGCTTCCAAAGAAAACAGTTTTCTGATAAATATAACTTGATATTATTTGGCATTTAGTAGCATTTAATTGTGTGGATCACAACAATTGTGGCAAGTTCTTAAAGAGATGGGAGTACCAGACCATCTTATTTGCCTCTTGAGAAACCTGTATGCAGGTCAAGAAGCAACAGTGAGAACTGGACATAGAACCACTGATTGGTTCAAAATGGAGAAAGGAGTTCGGCAAGGCTGTATACTATCGCCCTGCCTATTTAACCTATATGCAGAGCACATCATGAGAAAGGTGGGGCTAGATGAATCACCAGTTGGAATTAAGATTGCTGGGAGAAATATCAACAACCTCAGATACACAGATGATACCACTCTAATGGCAGAAAGTGAAGAGCAGCTGAAGAACCTCCTGATGCGGGTGAAAGAGGAGAGTGCAAAGGTTGGCTTGAAACTCTACATTAAGAAAACTAAGATCATGGCATCCGGTCCTCTCACTTCCTGGCAAATAGATGGGGAAGAAATGGAGGTAGTGACAGATTTTATTTTCCTGGGCTCCAAGATCACTGCAAATGGTGAGTGCAGCCAAGAAATTAAAAGACGCTTGCTCCTGGGGAGGAAAGCTGTGGCATATCTAGACAGCATATGAAAAAGCAGAGCCATCACCCTGCCAACAAAAGTGCATATAGTCAAGGCTATGGTTTTCCCAGTTGCAATGTATGGCGGTGAAAGCTGGACCATAAGGAAGGCCGAGCACTGGAGGAGACTCCTGCGAGCCCCTTGGACCGCAAGGCGATCAAACCGGTCAGTCCAAGAGGAGATCAACCCTGACTGCTCTTTAGAAGGCCAGATCCTGAAGATGAAACTCAAATACTTTGGCCACCTAATGAGAAGGAAGGAGTCCCTGGAGAAGAGCCTAATGCTGGGAACAATAGATGGCAAAAGAAGAAGGGGACAACAGAGAATGAGGTGGCTAGATGGGGGTCACTGGGGCAGTTGGCGTGAGCTTAAGTGGACTCTGGGGGATGGTGGAGGACAGGAGGGGCTGGAGGAATGTTGTCCATGGGGTCTCAATGGGTCAGACATGACTTCGCAACTAACAACAACAACAAGCATTTAATTCGAGTTGATGCATGATGATTCCTACTACCTGTCAGCACTTGATATATAACATGCAGTAGTGATTAGTATGTGATAGTAGCTTAACAGATGTTATGCTTGAGTTTCCTTTTCCTGGTCAGTTTTGGAATCTTCACTTTTGGATCCTCTCCCTGGGTGGACTGCATTGTGCTCTTGCCATACCAAAGTAGATAATGCTCTCCCTCCCATTGTAGCAGCTAGAGAGCTGTGGTGTATGCATACATGTCAATTGCAGTTTAAAGTATTAACATTATAGAGAAACACAGAAATTAAAATTGTCAAGAAAATGATTGTTTGACAGACTTGGAGCAGCTTGTAAGTCTCAGGGCGTGGTGGCCATTCTCTGCTTTGCAGGCTAAATATAAACTATCAGCTACAGCTGCATGGATATATATGCAGTTTATTAGAATCTAGGTTTGGTCCTGCTGCTTTTACATCTCCAGGTCTAACCATGTTAGTGGAAGTTCTGATGGAGACTGAAAAAATTACATCATTATAATGAATGTAATTATAATGAATGTTCCTACGTATTTAATATTGGAGAATCAATATGACATGCAGGGTCTCAGGCAAGAATGGGATAGTGAACTAGAACACCCCATATTGCCCAGCCAGTAAAGTGCCTCATTATTATCTATTTCACAAGGGAGTGTGTATATCAGGTTATGTTTAATTCAGCATAAATTGATGTTTTCAGTAAGTGGATGCAATATCTCTTTAATAATGGTTTAATTAAATTGGCAAGCTGCTGAGGATGCAATGCTGCTAATGCTTCTCTTTTGGCAATGCTGAATGGCAGCTTTCTTTTGGAAGGAGGTAATAATTCAGATAAACTGTATGATAGAAAGTTCTTTAGTGTTCAAGGATATACGTGTTCTTTTGGATTACCTACCCATCTATTGGAATATAATACAAAGTCAACATAAATGGATTTTCCATGCTCTTGACAATTAAGATTAATATTACAACATTGGATGAATAAATAGCCACTGGTTATTTTTATTCGATTTATATCCTGCTTCTTTCTTAACAAAGAACTCACAGTGGCTTACACAATTCTCTCCCTGCTGCAAACAGGAGATACACAGTAGATGGAGCTTTTAATGAACATCCTCTTTTGAAGGAGTAGCCTTTAGGCATAACTTACAAATGGATAAATATGTGGATTTTTGGAGTGCCTTTGTCAACGTACGTGCATCATTATTGTCATCATGTACTAGCATACAGGGATGCACAGTGTAACCAGTGCTATAGATCTTTTTCTTCCCTTAAGTAGTGTTCAGATCTCCTGTTGTTTTTATTTTTATAATGCTGTTTGACTGTTTTTGTGTTGCAGTTAAAAAAATAATGCTTGAGGCATGTCAGAATGAAAATGTTTGGAGTGTTCAAAATGCAAAAGTTGTCATTGCAAAACTTTTCAGATGTCAAACATTTGTAGATACTTGTCTGGGCTCTATTCATCATATACTCTCAGTCACTGTCACCACTGTAGATAAACTGGGTTATCTTTTCTGTGCTTGGCTTGTGCAGTGGCCTGGATTTTACAGATCAGGAGGACACTTGCTCAGTGTTTTGGCAACTGCTAAGTATGTACACACTAGGCTAACGAGAGGGTGAAGCGCTTCAGCTTCTGTCTCTGTACAATTCCCATACTTGGACTCAATTATGGGAACACTTTATCAGCTGTGGGAGGGCTAAGTTACAGGTTCAGCTAAGCTGGATAGATTTTGTACCCTTTCGACCAGGAATAAAGCACTACATTTCCAGATTTCCTGTTTGGGGTGGCAAGAAATCTCTCAGCTCAGTAACCCTCTTTCTTTACAGCAAGTATGAGGATGAAGAGGATGAGGAAGGAGTGGCAGACACAAATCAAAAGGTGAGACTGGGAAACACATGAGTAAGGGTCACCATATGAGGACCCTCTCCCTATCTGGGGACGCTCTCTGCTAGAGAACATGTTGGTTTTGGTCAAGGGGATCCCAGCTCTTCAGAGGGATGGGAAGAAAGGGTGGGTAACACACAGTCTTCTCAAACCTGCAGTGTGAGGACTGGGACGTGGGTGGCTACCAGGGGTGGGCAGAAAGCCAGGATCAGGGTGCTGGTATGAGGCATGTCACCACAGGTTTGTAGGGTCAAAGCCTGGCAGTGTTGCAAAATCAGAAACAAGGCAGCAGGCAGTCTGGTATAGTCAGAGAGGGCACCAGAGAGAGACAGAGAGCAGTCCAGAAACAGTCCAGGGGCCCTGTGCTGGGGGAACACTCAGGTAAAGGTGGCCAGGGTTGAGGAGGAATGCCATGGGGACAGACATGACCAGGCTGGAGCACTGTACAAGTGAGGAGTGAGGCATGGAGATGCAGGAGCCAGAGCGCAAGGCGTCATAGGGACAGCTTGCATTGCTGTGGCTGAGAGCAGCAGTGGAAAGAGACCTTTTGTGTTGGTTTCCAGCTGCACTGCAAAATGGAAAGTGCCTGTGATGGTTCTGCAGGCACTTGCAGGGTCAGTCTGGCCCTGGTACCGGAGTGCAAGAGATCACTTTGGGAAGCAAGACACCTCATCAACTTGCTTGAATGTGGCATGTGACATAGCTCTTTCCTTGTATTAATCTTCTCTTCTCTCCCATGATTTCATAGAGCTATGTGGAAGAACAGAGGCAACTCAAGCAGAGGTGAGTGAAGAAATGGGAGATGGTTGGGAGGCAGAAGCTTCAACAGGACAGGTCTGTGTTATCCTGCCCCTCTCACTTGGTCTTTGCATGCAGTGCCTCTTCCCTTTCTAGTTAATTTCTGAAAAGAGAGGAGTTACCAGGAACCATCCCTTCCTGGATGCTGCTCTTCAAAATACTGTATCTAATGGAGTAGAGTGTTGCTATTTCATGAGGAAGGAAAACTGTGTCTCATGTTTAGAACTTGCCATTTCCACTCTTTGAGCACCGAGAAGAGATTCTGGGTCCCAGGCCTGGCCGAGTCTGAGTCCAGTTTCATTCCTTCTTTTGAACTGGGTTTTTCCCAAGTACTTTCCCCCTGGAATGTGTGTTGATCAGTATAAAATACTCCATCCTCAGTACAGGACTTTGCTAGCATTTTGCCTCTGGTTGGCCTATGGCAGTTTGGGGTCAGCTGTTAGGAGAGCTCATGATAATGATTGCCCCAGCCTTCCATCGGTTCTTCTTTGTGGTCTCTGTGCATCACACATGTTGTTGTTGATGTTATTCCATTTCTGTATCACAGCTGAAGCTCTCTGGGCTGTTTATAACAAATAAAACTATGTTTTCAGATGATTTGTTGGAGGATGTTACCACTTGCAAAGCACTCGACACACTTAAGAGAATTTTAATGTGCATACAGGAAAGTATAAATTGAATAATAGTTCTGCTGTTAATAAGAGTTACTACAAACATCTGTATTTGAACCGTTCATAGCTCATTAATGTGTGGCAAAGCTGTACATGCCATGGAACACCTGAAGGGTGCCCCACATGCAAGAACCTTTGACATTCAGCAAGTAGTAGGGTAAAAACAAGATATGTGAGCAAAACCAAACCAGCTGAGTGCTGGCTTTATCTGCAAATGAGGAAAGTACCTATGGGCTCTGTGTCTGAGCACTGCCTGTTGTTGGGAAGATTTATTAGCTAAGAACATTTTGGTAGGAATCCCTACCCCCGTTGAGCTTCCAGTACAAAAGCGGAGGAATCCCACCCATTCCTTCAGTTCTTCAACTGACTGCCTTTATCGGTACCTCAGGAAGTTTGTCCTTGTTCTGTCCTCTTCAGCTTTGAATGTTTTTCCTTCTTTCTTATTACTGTAGATCCCATCTGTCTCACTTCAACTTTATAATCTTCAACTACCTCTATTGCTCTCAACTGTGCCTGATTGTTCCCTACTTTCCAGAAAAAAAGCCTTTAAAACCCCCCTCTTGCCTTTCCTATGCTATTCCAACCCCACATGCCCCCCCCCCATTTCCAAATTACTAGTAGCATCAAAGGCAACATTTTGGCAAAGGCATGAGATGTGGTAGCAATCCTACATCAACAGGCAGGCATTCTCTTTGCTTATTTTGTCTTGTTTAGTCAACCAGTGCCCTCGCTGTATGACTTTCACCAAGCAAACCAGGAAGCACCATGTGGAACTCTGGAGCAAGCCTCTCCAGGCAGTCAGTGCCTTCACACTGCTGGAGCCTACTCACTCTGCTTCAGTGGAAGCCCCTTTCTCTCCGTAGTCTGCACTGTTTCGGCCACAAACTAGGGAGATCCCTGCATCTTAAGGAAACCAAGGCACAAGGTGGCCAAAATAGTGAACCCCTCCAATGCTAAACATAACAAGCATTCTACGGGGCAATGCTTAGGTTGCACTGAGAACAAGCCACAGGCTGAACCCACTCCATTGGCACCACTGGGACTGACACCCAAGCCCATTTCAGTCTCAGTCACAGAAGGGAAAATCTGGACCTCCCCACCTCCCTTATGAGCTCTGTCTTCTGCTGGTACTCCTTCTAGCCAACCAGCCTGTGAGTTTCTCATGTAGCAACCCACCACCAAAGGATCCAAGTTCTCAAGAGACCACTCCCAGTTGCCAGTCTTTGATTGGGACAGACAGTCTGCCTACTGTTGGACACATTGTGCAGAGCAGACATGTGATCAACACTGTCCATGTTTGTCCATCACTGTCAGCTTGATGTGAGAGCCAAAGAGTGCTCCTTTGGTCAGACTGTGTTGCCATCTAGTCTCCTGTAGTGACACCTCCCACCTCCTCTAATGGATGGTATGCTTGCTAGTTACCCATATGTATGATGCACAGATGGCCACTTGAAGAATTTATTTATTTTTATTTTTATTTATTAAAACATTTTTATGCCGCCCCATTCGCCGAAGCCTCGGGGCAGCTCACAATAGTTATAATATAAATTAAAAATATAAATATTAAATTAAAATACCACAATACACAGTATTAAATTAAAATACACAGTGACAGTTACAGGTACGCAACCTAACTTTCCTTGTAGCCATTAAACCCTGTTCCAAATCATGGATCTAAACCTTTAAGCTACAGACACTCTTGGATTTGCCCTTGTCTTTTGTGCAGTTTCCAGAAGTTTGTGGCAGACAGTGATGATGATGATGATGATGATGATGATGATGATGATGATGGCGCTGAAAAAAAGGGCAAAAGCGACAGTTCATCAGCCCTGCTGCAGAAACGGGTCAAAAGCAAGGAAGAGAAAGTAGGGCATGTGGGCGTGTGCATGTGGGGGGAGGTAGGTTTGGGATTTTTCTTTTGGGTCCTCTAACCAAGGACACACTTGGAAATACAGCTGTTTAAAAGTGTGGGGAGGAAGTGTGGGAAGCCCAGCATCTTTCCTTCATGAATCTGGAGTGCAAAAGATCACTTCAGGTAACAATATATTTCATCATCATCTTTGACTATGGAATGTTAACATACTTCATTCCTTCCTGATTCAAGTATGATAGATGCCCTTGTAGCACAAGTAGCTTGTTCACAATACAGCATAGAGACGACCATTAAAGCAGTCTAAGAGCATGTGTATTCTTCTTCACAAGGACATTCACGCAACAGTTGTACTTGTTTCCCTGGAGACCCTCAGATCCAAGTTTGAGCAGCACCCAGTCATTCTATAAACTGGTACTGTCTCATTTTCGATGACTCAGATTAAGTTGGGCAACTTAATCTAACCTGGAGAGCCAGTTTGGATGTCTTGCTCTATTGATTCTGTTGGAGATGGGGTGTATTGGCAAAAGAGAGGGAATAAATATTTCAACAGCAAATAAATAGTTACTTGCCTCCAAGGAGGGCTTTGAAATGTACTGAAATATTCTAGTAAAAGTAGCTGCCAGTCGAAAGTGTTGGTTTTCACCTTTTAAACCCTTAAGTGGTTTGCAAACAAATTACTTAAGTATTGCTTTTGCTTATATCAGCCTAGCTGCACTTTGAAGATCAGCAAGACAAACCCTTCTCATTTGTCTGCCTGTGAGGGCTGTTAAGTGGGCAAGTACACACACGAGGGTCTTTTCTGCAGCAGTTCCAGGCCTTTGGAATGCGTTGCTATCAAGAGTCTGACAGGCCCCATCACTGTAGACTTTTAAGAAAGTCCTGAAGATTTACTTACCCTGATCCTTATGTCAGACAGCAATTGTGTTGTAGGTTCTGCCTTCTGCTATGGTTTGTTGCTTTTTGGAACATTTGCTGTTTTTATTACCAAATATTTATTGTACAGGTTGTATTCTTGTATGCCACCTTGGGAGAACTCCTGTCCCAAAAGACATCCTAGAAGTAATTTAAATGAAAATACTAGTTAAGTTGTTGGAGTGGGTATTATCTCTGTTCTGTCTGCCCATCTTTTTTGCAGGAATGTGAGGAGGCCAACTATATCAGTTGGTTGAAAGGTCAGGAGAAGTCACAAGTAGGGGAGGTACTTCAAGACCTGGTGAGTCATGGCCTGGGGACATCCTGCTGTGGATGGCTGCAGAGTGGGCTCCAGTGGTTGGCAGCCAGATGTGGCTGTTGGGACCATAGCTGTCTCCTGGCAAATGAAAAGACATCTTGCCCCTAGACGAGTTTCTTGTAACTGGCTTCAGAGGTTAGTGCCACTTACAGAAATACATGAGGGCTTACACAATCCTATGGAATCTCCTAGGTTAGTCTACATGTTTCCTTTGGGAGCAGACATGAGCAAGGGGAAGACATGGCCTGTTACTTCTGCGCTGTTTGTTACAGTGGCATCTGGTTATTCTAATTTTCAACTGTTGCAGTAAAGTCATGGGATAGAAATGCTCCTCTTGAAACGGGTGATACTGATTTTGAGTAGTTAAATTTCCAACAAGGGCAACTCTGTTAGCTTGTAGCTAAACTAAAGACAGCTAAAAGACAATTTTCAGGATTTACATATGTTTCTCTATCTTCCCTCATCCTCTATATCTTGCTATGTTAAGATGAAATGGCCATTGATGGGAGTTCTTCTGGATCATTCTTACGCATTGTCTTTCAAGATAATGTTAAAACCATCTTTCTGTGTGAATCTTGGTGTTGGTGATCTTAACTCAGAAATTCAGTCTGGCAATTTTATTTTGGGTTTTGGGTTTCATCTGTGGCTTTTTCACATGAATTCTTTCTTTAGGCACCTCTTAAAGAATACTGGAATGACCCAAAACTAGATGATGGAGAACGGTTCCTGCGAGATTACATACTAAACAAGCGGTACAAGGAGGCAGATGATAGGGAGGAGGAGGAGGAGGAAGAGGAAGGGTGAGTGCTGATGGACTTCCAAGGCTCTTGAGAATAGCATACAACCTCCCCTGATTTTTTTTTCTCCCCACAGCTGGAAAGGAGGGGGAAAAAATAAGAGTTTTCCCTCCCCCCCCCCATCCATTGGTGGCATGTACTCTTGGGTGCATGGTCAAATGCAGTTATTCAGCAGGGGTGGGCAACCTTTTTTCTGATGAGGGTGGCGTTCCCTTGAGGATAATCTGTCAGGGACCGCGTGTCAGTGGTGGACAAAGCCAGAGCCAAGAGTGGGTGAGTCATCCCTTTTCTCTTTCCATCATCTTTTCCCTCTTTGCTCTTTTTTTTCCTGCCCACATTTGTTTTGTCATTTGTCATTTGTCATCAAGGCATTGCCAACTTATGACAACCTTCTGAATGAGTGCCCTCAAAAATGTCCAGTCCTTAGTAGTCCTGCGCAGCTCTTGTAAGTGCAAGGTTGTGGCTTTATGGACTCTGTTTGTCTCATAACTGATCCTCCTCCTCCACCTTTTCTTTTCCTTTTTTCTTCTGCATTGTTGTCTTCACCAGTGAGCCTCACCTTCTCATGGTGTGCCCAAAATAAGGCAATTTCAAGTTTTGTCATTTTTGCTTCCAGGGATTTGATCTAGACCCACATGCATCCACAGTGATTGGGAATACAATAGTGTGGATGATCTTGGTTTCCAGTAAAACATCCTTACTGAAAACCAATTTTTATCTTTTCTGGTTCCTTCATTGCTGTCCTTCCAAGTCTGAGTTTCCGTCTAATTTCTTGGCAGCAGTCCTTCTTTGAATTGACTAAGCCAAGGTATTGCAACATCCTTCACAATTCCAGTTTCTCTATTGTTGGCATGCAATTTGTGTATTTCTTCTTAAAGTCATAATCTTTTGTGAGCCGAGGCTATGTAGCAAGGGGACGGCATATAAAACCTTTAAATCAATCAATCAATCAATCAATCTTTGCTTTCTTAACGTCCAGCAGCAGTCCTGTTTTTGCATTTTCTTCTTTCACTTTCATCAGGAACTATTTGGGTTCATTGCTGGTTTTTGCCAGGAATACACAGCCAGTGTGGCATGGTGGTTAGTGTTGGATTAGGGACCAAGGATATTCAGATTCTAATCTCACTTGGCCATGAAACCCACTGGGTGACTTTAGGCAAGACATTCATTCTCAGCCTAACCTATATCAGAGTTGTTGTTATGAGGATAAGCAGTAGTTGTGTGCAGCAGGACTAAGCTGCATTGGGTTCTTTTTTTTTTTTTTTTGCAGTACTTTTTTATTAAATTTTAAAACAGTACTAAAAACATCAGTCATCACAAACATCGGAACTACTGAGTCAGCCCCTTACTACATATCTTTTAACATGCTGTAATCATATTCAGATCCATTTATGGAATCTTAAAAAACATTTTTAGATCTAAACCAAGTCCCGTTTCTCCAGCCAATAAAAAAAAAAGTTCCAAATTTGATAGAAGTCACTATCTTCTTTCTCCTTCTGCGGTAAGATCAGTCCATCCATTTCTCTGATAAAAGTCAATATCTTCTTTCTTCTTCGATAGTAGCTTCAGTCTAACCAACTCTACACAATTCCAGATCTTTTCATTTTTCTAATATTAAACAAATAAACTCCTCATTATGGTAGTTACAAATACAATCAAATACATTTTTTGCTTACTAGTATTCCAGTCTAATATCCACTAAAAAGGAAAGTGAAAGAGAAGAAAAGTTTCAAGCTTAAAAAAGAACTAAAGACTTTTAACCCAATTTATGTTCACATGTCTAACATCCATTTAGCATCTTTAAGGATATCTTATCTAATCTATTTAACGGCAACAATTATCTATGATATCTTTTAAACAAATTTTCTTTAAGCTAATTTATTAAAGTTTCATCTAGCTTACACTTAATCACATACAATTAACTCCTCATAAGAGTCCAGCTCCTTACAATCTTTAATATATCTCACTTGTAAAAAGAAATCTATTTAGTACAGCTCCTCCTACTCCCATAATAGTCATTTTCTAGTATAGCAATTCAAAGACAAAAGAGTCATGCAACTTAGCTTTTGATCATTCATTTTTAAGATAAAAAAGAAAAAAAAAGAAAAAAAATCTCATTTTCCCTTATATCACCCACAAAGGAGAGAGAGAGAGAAAAGGGGGGGGGGACTCCACTCCTATTCTTCTCCTTCTTAGTTCAGTTTAAATCTTACCCTTATAATCTCTTCATAATCCAACACATTTAAATGTAGAAAAGCTTCCACAGTTAAAATCATATACCTTAGCCTTTCCATACCACAATAAACATGCCAACCCATTTATACCATTCCTTTTTAAGATTTCTTTTTTACACCTCTTCCAAACCGCTTTTGTTTTAATAGGGTTTGTTGAAAATCAGTATTTTTAAACTTTACATCTCCAGCCCATCTTTCTCCCCTTGGTGTTATTTGTTTAAAATTAACCCACTTCAAAGTCTGTATTTCAATCTTCACTATTTCTTGCTTTATCTTCAGTGATTGTAGCATTTGTTGTAGGTCAATATTTATTCCCAATGGCTGTGTTTTTTGCTGCAAATCAACCTTCACTGTTTCTTCTTTCTCAGAATCAATTTTAGTTAATTCAGGATCCATCCATCCTTCAAAAAAAAAATTCCTTCCTTTAGTGGCCAAATTTGTTTCTTTTTATCCACAGTTTCAAATTTTTCATATACTTGTTGCATTTCTTGTATATTCTGTTCAGTTTTGGATTCTACGTCAATCACCATCTCCTTAAAAGAAGCATCAAGCTTATCAAAGCGCTTTTTTTGTACAATTGAGAAGATTTCCTGTTGTCTCAACATCACCTCTTGGGATATTTGTAAAATTGTTAAAGATTCTTGTATTTCCAAAAAAAAACCTTTCAGCTCTTCCATCATTACAATAATTTCAATAGCCGCAAAAGTGGCAGCCAAGATCAGTTCCACTTTTCTTTTCTCTAGATCACTAGTGGTCAGAAGGTTGGCAAGTTGCCAAATATTTTGCCAGAGGTCCCAGAAACGCAGGAGAGGAAATGGAGATTCTTATATCCTTCCTCCTTTCTCCCTTTTCTCTCTTCTTTTAAATGCCAATTAACAACAGATATAGTTTTTCCACAAGTAGTATTGCAAAAGGAAAATAGTAATGCTCACCCAAACAGTCATCACATTAAAGAAGAAAGCATCCGACAATATGAAAAATATCCTGATGAGTGTCCAGTTGATCTCAGCAGAAGTCCAAACAGATATCCAACTATCATGTACTTGCACCTTAAAAATTTAAACTAATTTTATACCCTTAGAGAGATTAGAGGAAAAAGTCTTTTTCTTTGGCTTCAACTTGGACAAAAGTCTCAGCTCTCTCTCATCTCAGTCGCCGCCTAAACATCCAGAGGGTTTTTCTTTTCTTAATGCCAAATTATAAACAAATGCAGCTTTTCCACGGGTAATATTGTGAAAGAAGTAAAAAATATTTACTCAGCAGTTCCAATGCTTATCTAGCTAATAAAAATCCGAAGCTAATCTTTTAAGACGTCGAGAACTTGAAGGGGCTGAAACCACCCCCTGTGTTACTCGGTTGAGAAGTACCTGAATTGCTCTCAGCAGATATGAGATTGCCATCTCACATCAAGCCAAAAGCATGCCCAGGCAATCTATCTTCACCCCGACAGGGCTTAGATGAGTCTCCTACGACTCGCTGCCGAGTAATACCGGTGTGATAAACGAACTCCGTTAATCACATCCGTCTTGTTCCGACGCCATCTTGGAATCACTGCATTGGGTTCTTCATAAGAGGAATTCATATATCAATTATTGATGTTTCTTCTACCGATTTTCATTCCTCCTTCCTCTGAGCCTAACCCAGCTTCCTTATGTTTTATGCTATCCCGGCTAGGGAGATAAAGTGTACATTTACGTTATATCTTTGCCTATAGGAAGTCATTCTGTTTCTCCATATTCTGTTCTAATAATGCCTTCTTGTCCCCAGTACAGGTTACACATCATTGCAATTGTGTTCCGAGCCCACCCATTTCTTTCAGAATTTTCCATCGCTTCTTTTAATGCACACAAAGGTTTTCCTATAGTTTCTAAAGCATATCATCTTCTGAAATTTGCTGGTGCTCTCCAATAGCCAGCATTTATTTGTGATAGGATCTCCAATGCCTCTTCCTTTTCAGACTCCAGCTTGAATGACAGGCATTTTTTTCCTTCTGTATGGGGTAAAATTCATTGTTGCAACACCTTGAGTATCCCTTACATGGAAAATCAGTGCAGTGGTCCTGCAGTTGCTGCACTCTTTTGCATCTCCTTTCTTGGGGATTGGAATGCATATCAAACATTTCTAGTCTGTGGGTCATTGTTCTGTTTTCCAGATTTGTTGGAAATCTGATGAAGATTTGGACTGATTCAGTCCCTGCTGATTGGAATAGTTCTACTGGTACTCTGTCTACTCCAGAGGCTTTCTTCCTTCCAACTGTTTTCAGAGCAACTTTCTCTGCACCTTCTAATATTGCAGCTTCTTCCTCATAGGATTCTTTCGTGAAGGAGCCTGACATCCTTTCATCTCTTCTGTACAGTTCTTCCATATATTGTTTTCACCTTCTCCTTATTTTATCCTGGCAAGATGTTATGTTTCCTCATTGTTCTTTCAGGATTCCTAATTCAGGTTTGAATTTCCCTTTGATTGCTTGGATCTTCTGGGAAAGGTCTCCTGTTTTTCCTCTTGTACTGTTCTCTTCTATCTCTTTGTATTTTCTGTTGCAGTAGCTGTTTTATCTCTACATGATAGTCACTGAAAAGTTGCATTCAGGATTCTGTCCCTATTTCTGTTCTTTTGCTTCTCAGCTGTCCTTCCGAAATTTTGAGTGTTTCTTCTGTCCTCAGTCTAGGATTTTTCTTTCTTTTTGCATCCTTCGCTGATGATGTCTCTGGTTTCAGTCCAAAGTTCTTCTGGTTTATTCAGTTAAGCTCAGTAATGTAAATCTGTTCTTTCTGTTGATTTTCAGTTCCTCAGCAATGTTATTGCATTTTGGCACAATGATTCTGTTTGTGATCTTTTAAAGGTATACTCTGATATTTCATATTCATAGTTACTGGTCACTACTATAATCTACTCCTGGTCTTGTTTTGGCAGCTAGAATGCAGTTTCTCCATCTCCTGTTTCCAATTATGTAGTCTATTTGGTTCCTCTATTGGCTGTCTAGTGATATCCATGCACACAGTCATCTGGTTGGTTGCCTGAAGTATGCATTTGCAATAAACCAATGACTGGCTTCACAGAATTTTGTGAGTCATTTCCCTACTTTGTTTCTGACATGTAGGACAAATTCTTTGACAGCATTGGATTCTGCTTTGTTTCCTACTTTTTCATTCCAGTGATTATCAGCATGCCTTGTTTTGGTGTTTTGTCAAATTTCCCTTGGGTGCTTGCATAGCATTTTCTATTTCTCCTTCAGCATTTTTTTGTTGGAGCGTAGATCTGAATGATGGTTATGTTGCGTGGTTTTCTGAGAATTCTCATCACTCAGACTTTGTATGATAGCCCCTACTGCCTCGAGTACATCTTGCCTAAGTATTAGAGCCACTCCATTTCTTCTGAGTTGTCATTTCTACAGGAAAGCACAGGTTGTCTGACTGTTCCATTTGAAATGTTTAACTGTTCTATTTCTTGCTTCCTCATTTCCAGTTTTCCTTGACTACTTCTTCTAACATTCCATGCTTCAATTGTATATGTTGTACACTGTTGGGCTCTCCTTTCATATTTGTGCATGTCAACCACTAGATTTCCTTTTGGCTTTGATCTAGTTATGCCATGTGCAACATCACTATTTGTACTTGCCCTTTGCTTTTCCTCAGTAGCTGGTTGAATGCTTTCTGACCTGGTACTTTCATTCTGTTACACTATCACTTGTTTCATTTTGGGCTGTTTCGTCCTAGCATTTGTAAGAGAAGAATATTCAGAAGATGTTTGCTATCACCTTCTCCTGCATGTTTACTAACTAGAGTTAGTGTGAGTTTCACAGCTGTTGTCAATAAAAATCCTCTGCCGGTGTTACTTTCAGATGTTTCTCTGCCCCATCACCATTAGAGATTAACATTTTCGTCTGCTGATGCAGCCATTCCTCCCTGGATGGATCCTGGTCTACTCTCTCAGCGTTGACCATTCCGCCTTGGGAGACCCTGCTAGGAGACCAGATTAGTGACAGGGGCTGGCCTTCTGGCAGCATTGCTTTTCATTTCTCTGAGTATCTCACTCTTCTTCACTTTGCTAAGGGAGGCATCCAAGAAGGTGTCTGCCCACCAAGTTTCCAGAAAGTTCAGCTTGCTCTTTTCAGACATCTGAACTAAACATATTTAGCAGGCCTTTGAAATTAAACGGGGGCTGCAGGTTGGGATGAATGCTTCACAAGTTGTCATCTCCTGACATACAGGATGACTTAGTCTTTGAACATTCCTCAGTATCCTTTTCAAGATACATCGGAGTAATCTTATTGTTGCCCTAATAATTGGTAGGGCTAGTTGTTCAAAGTAATTTCTTTATAAAGTTAACTCATGGCAGTGGATACTTTCAGGGTTGCTGGGAATGGTTCCATATGCCAAGCTGATTACATGAAGTCCTTTTTCCTAAAATTGCACTGATTCTTACCAAATTGCACTGCAATTTTTCCTAAAATTGCACTGATTCTTCAGCACGCAGAAGAGTGTGCAGTTTTGACATGTTTGCAGTTATGAAGTGGGCTTCAGTGGAGATGAAATCCAGAGAGTGGGGATAGTTTTTCTTCATCTTGGATTAGATGGGCTGAAACTTGCCTCACCTTGCCCTGTCCATGTTTGATGACATTTGGTCTGTTCATCTAGCCTCTGCTGTAGACCTTTTGCCCTCACAGTCTCTCTGACCTTTCCTAATAGATCTGCAGTCACTTTGCAGGCAGCCAGATGTTGACATGATCCAGTGGTCCTTTTGAGGATGAAAAGGTTCCTACTTTTCACCTAAAAGGCCTGAACATGTTTTTGAGCTGCTAAGGTAATAGAAGACATATTTTGATACCACAAATGCGAAAGCCAATATGAGGAACTTTTCAATTTTTTCCAGTTTCCTGCCAAACTTTAAGGAACTCCTTTATGAAACTGTAACATCTTCAACAGTATTTCTTGTTTATCCTGCTCAACCTGATGTTGTATCAGATTGAAACTCCCATCATTCCCAGCTGGCATTGCTGTTCAATGCATCTAGAAGACTTCAAGTTCGGTATTGCTGCTTTAGTTTTTGACACTGAAATCGGATAACCTCAGGAATTCGTGGTTGAGAATAAGGGTGGTATAAATTGGCCATCATTGTTCTCAGTTTATCAGCCTCGCAAAGAAGCCAAAACCTGCTTTGGTGCCTTCTCTGTTCCTTCTTCACTCATCGCCGTTTTACATTCAGTACCTGTTGACTGCTCAAGAATTTTTTTTCCTGGCATGGCCAATCAGAGCAGGAGCTGCAGTGGAGGCAATGGGGTATTGTTGGGGACAAGGACAAAGCCAGGTGGAATGCTTAGCTGGGGCCCACAGCCATTTGGAATATGAAACATCCTCCACATGGATGGCTTCAGAACTTCTCAATTGGTTGAGAAACTGAGGAGTTTTGGGATACACCAATGCACTGTCCGATGGATTAGGGCATAGCTGATGGACCGAAAGCAGAGGGTAATCATTAGTGGGGAATCATCAGGATGGTGGCCAGTGACAATTGGGGTCCCCCAGGGCTCTGTCCTGGGGCTGATCCTGTTTAATTTTTTTATCAACGACATGGAAGATATCTAATAACTCTAATATGGCTAGAGTTGAGGGCATGATGGAGGGATTTCACAAAGGTGGCAGGTGAATGCTTCCCCGCCCTGGGAAGGCTCAGATCCCTGAGTCTGGGCAAAGACAGTTTTGACAAGGTATCAGTTTGTATGGTCTTGCTCAGACAAAAATCATCCCACATCTACTTCAGCTCTAGCAAATGAACTGGCTACGATTTTGGCCTACCTTCTGTGAAAGTCGCACATGGTCCCAGGATGTGGCCATTTCCACTTCTGCAGTGGATACTGTTGAGTTCTGCCCAAGAGCAAATGCTGTGGCACCTTTCATGTTCTCTTGCCTTACTTGTCACTCATTCTGCTCTGTGCTGCCTCCCCCCAGGCTACCTGAGGCACAACTGAATGTGTCAGACTCATCAGATGAGGGCGAGCTGTTCCTAAAGAAGCAGGAGGATTTTGAGAGGAAATACAACTTCCGCTTTGAGGAGCCTGAAGCTGAACGGGTGAGGGCAGCATCCCTTGCCTGGATGGGTCTCTGTTCAGTGCTCCTCTGTGAGGAGACTGGAGGGAGACATTCTGGAGATCCCTTCCCCAGTTTTGTCTGAAGAAGGTGGTTATCAGAGGAATGTCCCAGTCCATCTTCTCCTTCCTCCATCCTCTGCCTGCCAGGTGAATAGCTATCCCCGCATCATTGCAACTTCAGTGCGCCGGAAGGATGAGCACCGCAAAGAGAAGCGCCAGGAGACCCGGGAGCGCAAGAGGAAAGTGAGTTCTGGCAAGGAGAGAGTGACTGATGGGCTTGGCTCTCTCTGGCTGGGTGACGAGGCTTAGCATGATGCAGGCTGCCGGGGTTGCCAGGCAAAGGTCTCTCCCTGAATATTGTGCTTTGCCTGTCTTAAAAGGAGAAGGAGCGTAAGCAGGAGGAGCTGAAGCAGTTGAAGAACCTGAAACGCCGGGAGATCCTGGAGCGACTTGCAAAGCTTCATGAGGTCACTGGCAGTACAACCAGTATCTTCCAGGAGAAGGATCTTGAAGGGGATTTTGATCCCTCCCATCATGACCAGCTTATGGAGGTGAGTGCCTGTTTCCAGGCTGATTACAGATCTCTTGGCAATCAGAGACCTCCCTAATGTAAATAGTGGCATGATTCTGTTATGTAGCATTTCAAAATGTCCAGAATGTTTCCCATACACCAGCCCAGTATTTGTTTTGATACTGGGCAAGGAAGAAGAGGCTGAAATGGACAGAATAGGGGCTTGCCCCAGGCCACCTAGAGAATTAATGGCAAATCTGAGATTTGAAGGGAGGATTTGTGGTTTAAAGTTCAGTTTCTAGCTGAACGAGCTCTGGAATCATTGTCCACGGGGCAGACTGAGGGCTCTGAGCTTACCTCATCTGTCATGGAAGCTGGGAGATGCTTGTACAGTGTGGGGGAACAGCTTCCAGTTTTCATGATTTGCACTCTCAGCTTTGGTGGGAGGACCAAATTTCTCTCTAAAGACATAGTCAAGTGGCATGTGGCTGCATGTGGGGAGAATGAGAGTCTACTGATCTCTGTGGGGATATGTGGGGTAGAGATTCATTTGAAAGCAAGGGCAACATTGCATTCATTGTACCTCTGAATAATATCGATGGCAACACTCCTTTTGTAAAATTGCAAGAGTATCTGCTGTATTCAACTCAGCATGTCTTACTATTCACAGTCAAGGCAGGTGGTAGGGACCTGAGATTATTATCCTACTATTCTCCTTGTTTGCTCTGGTCTTCTTCCAGTACAAGTCTAGGGAGCTGATTGGGCGGAGGGGTTATTTAACGTTCTAAATTAATAATAACAATTACGTAAATCAGGTTAAATAACCTAGTATGTTGTCATTATAGTTGTTGAGAGAGACTTGATTCTGAATAAAATTAAACTGGAGCTTCTTTAAGTTTTCCAGAATCAGATAACTTCATCTACTCTGTAATATAGCAACTTCTGAGATAGTCCATTGGTTCTGAGGACGTGGAACTCTTCCAGTTTTACTGCTGTATTCCTTTCTTCCAGAAATTCTTTGGGGATGAGTACTATGGAGTTGATGAGGAAGAGAAACCGCAGTTTGAGACAGAGGAAGGAATTGATGGTATGTTGGGAGGTCTTTGAGCAAAGGCAATCCTCTGTAAAACCAATATGTTAGAGTGGGTAGCTTTACAAGGCAAGTTTCTGGAAGTTGTGCTTCATTCTAGAATTAGGTATGCCAAATATGAGTTTCCTTTATATCCCAAGCTTGAGTGAGGGGATCCTAGCCTGTCACCTGCTATATCCGCATGGGCTGAGTGAGGGCCATCAAAAATAGGACCCAGAGGATAGTGGCTTGGAAAGTAAAAATTATCTTTCTATCCCTTATCCAGATGAATGGAATTGGGACAAGTGGACAGGCAGGCAAGAAGCTGAAGCAGAAGCTGACACATGGCTGCAGCAGGAGGAAGAGTACCAGCCACACTGTGATGATCCTGACTTCATAGTAGGTTTGTTGTATGTCTTGACCAGCTGTCCCATTCCCCTGGTGTCCTTAGGGAGTGCCAGCAAGAGGAGCGCTTGCCTCACTGTCACTTCTGCCAAGGCTGTGACAGGAAGAATAAATGTTAGCTCCAAGAAAACCATATTTTGCAGTCAGGGCCATGCACATTTTAACCAGTACATTGTCCAAAGATTTGACTTGGCAAAAACTGTGGCATTTAACAAAGGACAGAGATGAGTGAAGTTATGGGGAAAGATGCAGGTTCTGTCCTAAACCACAGATAATCTTTCACAAGGGGCCTGCCAACTTCGACATCAAGTCTGTTGTATGTAGTTGCATTCTTTGCTCCCTGAGAGTTGGAAACTTTTTCAACCTTTACAGGAGTGATACACATTAATTTCTTAGGACTTACTTACAGATAAATTGACCCTTTCTGGGATGCAACTGTAGCAGTGGTAAAGTATTGCAACAGCTGTTCTGTATGTTAAAAGGGCTAAATGAAGACAAGAAATGTCCATGCAGATTTCTGTTTGCAGCCTTAGTTTGCTATGGACAGCAGCTCATACATTTGCAAACTTTGCTGTGTTCTTGTCTGAGCTTGTCTGTCACGCTTTCACATGAATGTGTGGGGAAGGAATTTGCTCTACTCTCCTATCTGGTTTTATGGTAATGTTGCTCATTTCTGCTCCCCTCTACATGCCATGCCTTCAGATGGATGCCGATTATGACCCTACCCAGCAACCTGGCCCTTTGAAAAAGAAGCGGAAGCTGGAAGCTCCCCTTCTCGGCAAGAAGAAACGCAAGTCACATTTTGCAGAGAGCATTGGTCACAAAAAAGAACCTTTTAATCCTGGTAAGGAAGTCAGATGCTAGGTAATTTTAGAGAACTTTCTCTGGATCAAGGGACGGCAACAACTTGTGAGGACTGTGGAATCTGAGAAGGGAACTCCCTTTGGAAATAGATGCTTCAGTGCAGTGACAGAAGTGAAGTGTTTTTCTATTGCCAGCCCAGGTCAAGTAGAGCCCATGCAAAACCCACAAATGAGATACGTATGCAGTAGCGTAGTCCCACTCATATGGAGGTAGCCATCATAACCAGTAGCCATTGATATCCTCCTCTATACCTTTAAGCAAATTCCATAGTTTAAAGGATGGAGTCAGCGAAAGCCTGGGCATAATTCAGCTTCCACCTGTGGTGAAAGCCATCTTGCCAAGCCATGTTTCCTTGTGGTCTTTGCAGAGACAAAGACATTTGAGCAGTACCTGGATGAGGTCTACAACCTGCATTATGAGGATCTGATAGGAGACCTGCCCTGTCGTTTCAAGTACCGCACTGTGGTCCCTTGCAGCTATGGACTCTCTACCGAGGAGGTAACATTTCCCTCTCACCAGAATGAGTGCTCCAGACCACTGATGTTGTGGAGCTCATAGAAGCATCCGAAACTGACAATCTGTTCCCCTCCAGATTTTGACAGCCGATGACAAGGAGCTGAATCGTTGGTGTTCTCTGCGGAAAACCTGCATGTACAGGTGGGTGGCAAGAATGGTAAGGAGGTTGCTCTTTCAGGTGGCTGCATTGTAAATGAGTAGCCAACGCTTGCAATAAAACTACGGCTCCTGCAGTGCCACAATGAACCCTGGCATGGGGGTTGGTCCTTCCAGGTTCTTGTACGACTCTGGGCACACTGAGAGTTGGCCACTTTTTCTGAAAGAATTGCAAGATTCTCTGGCAAGGACTGGGGGATGAAAAGCACATATTTTAGGGTAGAAACAAGGCATACAACCCACTCCAGAGCTTGATTACAAAGTCTTTTCAGGACCTCACTTGTGGGTCTGAGCCTTCACTAGATTTTACCCACTTTTACCCACTTGCTTACAGGTTGTCTTCAATAGTGTGAACTCAAAGCCAGCATAGAAGGGCTTTTCAGTGGCTTTCTTTTTTTGTTAAATGAAAGCAGGTGATGATGTTCAGGCTTGCTTCTCAAAGCGAATTGGGGAAAAAAATCTCAAAATTGTATTTCTATGAAATGGCAAATTCACCGTTTTAAGTTGGGAGAGGATCTGTTCTGGGTCTGTGTCCTGGTACTTCATGAACGAGGCTTCAAAAAGCCTCCCTTCCTGCCACTTTGTTATCCCTCTTGTCCTAAAAAAAAAACTGGGTAGGTTTGGGTAATGGGACAGTCTTAGGAACTGACAGGATGTCTTCTGTACAGGTCCGAGAAGGAGGAGCTGCAGGACAAGGCTGTCTATGAACAGAAAAGCCAAAATGTCTGGAAGAAGAAACAGATTTTCAGATCCCTTCAGGCCGAGTATGTACTCTGAAAGATGGTGGGCTTTATTCCAGCAGTTGGTATGGCAAGCCTGGTTGTGTCCCTGGAAATGCAAATCACTGGACTAAACAGTGGGAACAGGCAATATGAGTGCCTCCACACTGCCGCAAATGCTGAACATTATGAGAAACAAAGAGGTGCCCCATGCCATTGGTTCTTTTGCTGAATGGCTTATTCAAGCAGTCAAGAAGACTTGGATGGCTGGGTCAGGCCACATGTCGTAGTGGGGAGTAAATAAAATCAGACTCCTCTGAAAGAGGGTAATTCCTCAATCTAAATACAGTGGTACCTCGGCTCACAAATGCCTCAGTTCATGACCAAATCGGGTCGCAAACCAAAATTTAAGAAAAAATTTTACTCAGGTCGCGAACTCTGCATCAGGTGCTGATCATGCTCGTGCCCATCTCCCCCCGAGTGCACCCGCGATTGCACCCATCTGTGGCCGCAGTCGCGGTAGTGCTCATGCAGGGAACACTGGCGTGATTGCGGTCGTGCTGCGGGGAGGGGGTGGAGATGGCCACAATCTTTGTTGTTCTTTGTCACTTTGCTTCAAATTTTTGTGATTAAAAAAAAAAAATAGTTACAGATCGGATTAACCTTATTTACATTGAACCTTATGGGGAGATTTGACTTGGCTCGCAACCAATTTGGGTCGTGACCAGAGTTGTGGAACAGATTAAGTTCATGAGCCAAGGTAGCACTTATAGCAAAGGGATGGCCACCCTGTGGCCTTTAGCTATATATATGGGGAGAGCATATATAGAATAGAATAAAGAATGTATTTTATATTGAACACTGGCATCTCCTCCTGCCATCTTGGGCAGTTGCTGCCTGCTTTAGCTCACTTTCTCTTGAATGGACACAGAAAAGGAAGCAGTAGAATTTGGAGGTCATACTCGCTGGGTACTCCTTTCTTGGCTCTCCTCTGAAATCTGGCTATTGATTCTGAGCAGGGGCTGTATCTACAATCCCAGTGGCTCTGTCCATTCTACTGCATCTTTTGCTCTGTGGTGCAATAGCAGCCCCTGAGATCCACATTATTTGATTTTCCCACTTGTTTTCCTTGCAGGATGGAGGAAGATGATGTCAAGAAACCTCAGGGCAAGAAAGGAAAGAAGGCCAGGGCGAAAGCCAAGCATAAGGAACTGCCTTCTGAAGAGATGCGGATAGCTAGCCCTGGATGTGAGGAGAAGGGACTCTTGCTTCCCAAGGAAGCCAATGGCCTCAAGTCAGTGCCAGCCACAAAAAGGAAGTCAGAGGCTGCTGCCTTAGAAGGTCCTTGCACAGCCCACCCGTCTGTTCAGAAAAGAAAGAAGAGAGGCAGAAAGGGGCTGGTGCTGAGCACCAAGGTGCGGGTGGGGAGCTTTGAGTTCAGCCGCCAGCGGCTCCAAGCCTACAGTCTCAATCCCAAGCGTCTGCATTACCGCCAGCTGCTTCGTGAGAAGCGGAAGAAGCAGTCGGAGAGCCCCAAAGAAACTTCCCAGGACAGGACGGCAAAATAGTTCAGGCCTGATGAACTGCTGCTTCCTTGGCCTTATAGTACAGCCCCACTGAGCTGCACAAGGCAACGTTGATAACTGCCTCCTTTCCCCCAGCTGGGAATTGTTGATACCGTGTTTCCCCGAAAATAAAACCTAACCAGAAAATAAGCCCTAGCATGATTTTTCAGGATGCTCGTAATATAAGCCCTACCCCAAAAATAAGCCCTAGTTAAGATCGTCAGCCTTGTGTGGACAGGGAAACATGGTAGCCCGTCCATTGCAGCGCATGATAGACATATTGAATGATAAAATAATGATGTTAATATACAATTAAATATAAATAAATAATATTATTGACATTAATACTTAAAATAAATGATAATATACATTTTAATTATTTGTAAATACCGAAGCGGGTGCCTTTGGACGAGAGGTAAAGGCCTGTGTAAACAGATGTGGGATTTATTGCCGAATGACCAGTCAGAGTACAGATATAAGGCATGAATAACATCAATACATCCTGTGTTGTAATGGACATACTTAATGCATGGATGCAAAATGCAAGATGGGTGCAAAAAGAAAGAGGTGTTCCATTGAGTACAAGAAAGGAATCATGGAGGACTCTTGGGGCAAGAATTTCATGGCTTTTGTAAGAAAAAATAAGATATCTCCTGAAAATAAGTCTTTCGGAGCAAAAATTAATATAAGACTCGGTCTTATTTTCAGGGAAACACTGTAGCTACAAACAGTTGTCCCTAGATGACACTCTAGTTTGTTTCCTATGTTGCAAGCTCTGTGTCACTTTTCTCCCATGGAATATGAACAAGTCAACTTGTTTATGGAATGATTCAGATACATCCCACATTTACTTCTCTTTGCAAAAGGGCTTTTTGTCTGTCTGCTAAGCCTTTGAGTAACAGGCAGCCCACCACGCTGGCTGCACCCACACTGGCCTTTCCTGTAAATGCCATCATTGACTTCTTGCCCAGTATCCATCCGCATTGTCATCGCTTTGTATTCCATGGCCCTCTGTGTTGCCTTCCACATATTTCACATCTGATTTGTTGTGGGGGGAGGGTTACAATAAAATGCCTTTGCAGCCCCCTCTTATCCTGTGGAGACTGGCAAATACTCAGGCTTCTGCAGCGCTTCTACACCTTTGACAAAGAATGTGCTCCTTCCAGGCTCACTTCCAGGATAAGTGGTGTGTGGCCTGTTACTTGTCCTTGCTCACTTAACTGTTCCACTGCCAGTCTCCGCTTCCATGGGAGTGTGATGCCACTTTGTAAATGGCAACATACAAAGCTGAGAGAACACGAGAGACATTGACAACTGAAGCAGCCTGTTGCTAAACCCCCAGTTGTGTTCCTCAGGAGGCACTAACAGTAGATTCTTGTTACAAGTTCTGGGAATTATTTGTAAGTCAATGGAAGAGGATCCAGGCTATGAAGGAAGGGCATTCTGTACAGTACTACATTATATGCAAAAGCGACAATCCTAGGCAACTTTGGACAGAAAAATGACCAACATGCCCCTGCCAGGTTTGTCCTCTGTCTTAATCTTTGAATGCTGGAATATTCTCAAGATATTCCCTACCTGTGTATCATCACACAACTTCGTTGCAAATTAAAGCAATCAAAATCTGTCTAGCCTGCTGTGTGAAGTAGACTCCATGAAATCACAGACTGGTTCCCTAAGTCCACCCCATTTCTTACAGGCCATAGAAGGCAGCCTTTGCCTTCTCAAGTGACCTTGAGGACACTAAGCAGCTTGATCAGGGTATTAAAATAGCTTTGGGATCTGTAATCCTGAAGTGGGTGATCACTTTGCTGGTGGAAATCTGATGTGTGCTCATCTCCACAATGCTAAAATGGAGGGAGGGAATTACCAGCTGGGTGGTACCAGTTTGTCCCTTGCAAACTCATCTTGGGTTGGGGCCTATCTTGCATGGTTTGCCCTGGACTAAAATGTGTGTTCAGGCCCAGATTGGGCAACTTGGTAGCTCTTGGATTTCACAAGCAGTCCTAGAGCTGGAGATTGGCCACTCCTGCCTAGATACACAAGAGTGTGTTACAATCATAGAAACAAAGAGTCTGAAAGGGCCTCTCAGACCATTTAGACTGACCCTCAGCTCCAGCCAGCTCCACTCATGCAATCCCCAACATGTGGTTGTCCAGTCTTTCCTTGAATACCCTCACTGATAGGGGCTCAACCACCTCCCTTGGAAGCCATTCCATATCCTAGCGGTCCTAACCATCAGGAAGTACTCCAATAACCATCCTGAAGCCTGGTTAGGGTTGAACCCTGATGCCTGATTCCTTGAGCTTTGCCCCATTGGAACATGTCCTGACCTCCACTGCAGGGAAGAACAGCTCACAGCCCTCCTCCACATGACATCCCTTCACATAGCTTTAAGTTGCTAAAAGATCCTCTTGGAGTCTCCTCTTATCCAGGCTGAGAAGACCCAGTTCCCTCAATCTCTCCCCATGTATCATTCCTCCCAACCCAGCTACCATTCTTGTGACCCTGCACTGAACCAATTCTAACCTAGCTATGTCTCTCCTATAATGTGGAGCCCAGAACCGGATGTAGTACTCCAGTTGTAGGCACACCAGCATTGTGTATCAACACTTCCTTAGATCTGGAAGCTATACTTTTGGCTATACATCCAAGAGTGGCATTTGTCCTCTTAACTTCTGTGTCATACTGTTGACTCATGTTCAGCCTGCAGTCGACCAGTACCCTGATATCCCTTTCCAGCCACTTGTCCCCAAACCCGTACTTAAGACAGTTCTATGCCCCAAATGCAAGACCTTCACTTACCCACATTCAACACCACCCTATTGTTCCCTGCCCACTTCCATAGTCTGTCCAGTTCCTTCTGGAACCAGAGTACCTGCTCCTCCTCAGTTGTGGCCACTGCCCCCATTTTAGTATCGTCTGCGAATTTGATCAGCAGACTGTTCACCCCTTCCATGTCGTTGATGAAATGATTAAACAGGATTGGTCCCAGGACAGAGCCCTGGGGGGACCCTACTTGTCACTGGCTGCCATCCCAATGATTCCCCACTAATGGTTACCCTCTGCTTTCAGTCCATCAATCATGCCCTAATCCACCAGACAGTGCATCAATCTATCCCAAAGCTCAACAATTCCATGACCAGGATATGCAGCACTTTGTCAAAAGCCTTGCTGAAATCCAGATAAACCACATTCACCGTGTTCCCTCCGTCTAGCCACCTCGAGACCTTATAATGGAATTCCATAAGGTTCGTCTGACAGGATCTGTTTGTATGGAAGCCAGACTGCATGGCTGCCAGCCTCCCTTCTCTAGGTCTTCTAGAGCACACCCTATCTGAGCCTTTCCATTGTCTTTCTCAGAATGGACGTAAGGCTAACTGGCCTGTAATTCCCCATATCCCCTCTGCTACCCTTTTTGAACATTGGAACCACTGATACCACACTCCAATCCTCTAGAGCTTCTCCCGTTTTCCAGGATAAAGCAATGCAAGACCAGATGTTCCACACAGAATCAAGGGACAAACCGGACTCATCTCAAAGATCCTTTGCATGCAGTTGGTTCACGCCTGTGGCAAAAGCAACCTGTCACTTCTATGGCTACCCACTTGGCTGGAAGATATAAAAAGAGGGTAACAAACCCATCTGTGATCTCTCTCACTGCTGACATGTAGCTCCCAACTGATTACCCACAAAGGAAAAGTGCCCCTCAAGAGGAAAGGGGAAAAGCTGTGCTCACAGCATTTCATTGTAAAATCTACAATTGCATCACTAAATTTCTGAACTATATTTAGAATGTACAGGGCAACTTTTAAGTTATTAGAGATAAGTGTATGTAGCATTCTCCTGAGCCTTGGGCAGAAACAAGCCCAAAACAAGGTGCTCAGAAAGATGGAGCAGTGCAAGTTACCCCATTTCCAGGAGCAGGGAATTTGGATAGGAACATCCAAATATGTCCCTGTCAAAAACTAATTTTAAAAGACAGGTTGCGCTTTGATAGCTAGCTACTAAAACTCAGTGCTCCCATAAATGAGGTGGCTTGTGCTTTTCTACCTTCCCAAGCACCTAGACTCTTGGGAAAGTGGTGGTGAAGAGATGCAGGGCACTGAAAAGAGCCATGGCCAACCCACCCAGCCCTACGACAAAAATTAGAGGAATTTGTTGCCAAGAGCGAAATCTGTTGGCTCCCTGCTTTTGCAACCAAAATCATTTACAACTTGTTTACCCTTGGCAGCATGCCTTCTGACAGCTATCAAAGGAAGGCAAAATGAAAAATGAACTGTATAGCAGCCTTCCTTCATCAATGGCCATGGTCGGTACTTGCTATACTTGGACAACAGACATCCCCTGGGTCATTACCCAGAGAAGGCTTCCCATTTCAGACTCTCACAAATGCGTTTGTTGGCAAGTGCTACTAATCAAACAAATCGAAAAATACTTGCATACATCTGTGACAGGAAAAAGTGGCAGACCAGTGATAGCCCTTCTAGTGCGCCACTTGAAGAGTTGTCACTAATGGTCAACTCTGTTTGCAAAATGCTGGCCCGGGAAAGGATGCTGGGGGAGCTGCAGTGAGTGAAAATGGTCCTGCAGACGCTTCACTTTGTCACTCAGGTGTCAGTGGTGCACCTGTCACTGGAATTGGCCCAGGTAAGCTCAGCAAAAGGTTTTTGCTTTTCTTGCAGAGTGGCTCACTTTCACCTTCCCTGGACGTGTGATAGAATTGATAACCCAGGTCTGGATGGCACAGCACCCCATCATAGGTTCACCAACACCTAATGTAAACCACGGGATGTCATGGCGGCTTGCCCTCAAGTCACCTCTGAGAACTGTTCTGGTTTCACATGAAACAGCAAGCTGCCATGACTTGTCACCCTCTGGGTTGTTGCATCATACAAACACTGCCATTTTGTTTTTCTCTATGTAGCTTTTGGGTTTTGCATGCATTGCAGGTATTGACTGTAGGATGTTTCTCTACACAGACTTCTTTCCCGCTGCCAAATTCTGCTGAATTCTTTGGTAGTGTTTAGCACAGTTGGGTTGCCCGTGGGAGTTCCTCAATCTCTTGTGAATGGGATCGTGCTAATCTAGTATCCTCTGAATGCTGGTGTTCCTGTTGGTGCCTGGCATGTAGCAGTTGCTCTCTTGAGGTCATCAGACTGAAGCTTCGGCACCTCCATCTGTTTGTTTGGCTTCTTTATGTCTGTTAATGGCATGTGGAGGTTCTGAGCCGCTTTAGGGAGGTGAGATGAGGCAAGGCACCCATCGCCTGAGAGGCTTAAGTGGCTACTCAAAGCTTTAATTTGGTGGCTGTTGGAAGGACGGTCTTCCTGGTTCCTGATTTCCAACAGGAGTGCTGCTGCTGTCCTGGACACCTGGCTCTGAAAATGCACCTCTTCTGCCTCTCGGTCACCATCTGGAAGCATCGGTCCTGCCTGTTGGCTGCCATCTTCCTGGTCTTGCTGTTGCTCCTCAGGCAGCTCACAAAGCAGTGAGTATTGGCTAGGACTGGGAGGGGCTTTTGTGGGCGTTTTTGCGGAAGAACTGCTGTGCTCCTTGCAAGACGATCGCTCACAGCCATTTCGGAAGCCTGGGCTTCTAGCCAGGCAAGGAAGAGTTGTCTTTGACCAGGTGCTGAACACTCTTCCCTCTCCACCGGATGGCCACAAGCAGTGCCCTTGAATTTGGGCCAAGGACAAAAGGCTGCCAGCTTCCAAAAATGGCTTCCAGCTCAGACAGTATATACCCTGGGGAAGGCCTTAGCAGAAAAAAAGTCTTGGCACAGACAGCTGCTCTTCAAAAGTAACCCCCTTTAAAATGTTTGTGGCTTTCAGTGTTCATGTGTGTAAGAAGCTGGGGGTTTGTAAGCTGTCATTCTTTTAAATGACTGTACAATCCATTTCTGGTGCAGATGTGGGAAACTGGCAGTTGTTGACCCAGAAGGACAGTAAGAGGGTCTTTTGATAGAGCATAGTCATCTTAGACAGCTAAGAGCCCTCCTACCTTCAGCAACATTCTCTTTTTGGGAAGCTAATAGAACCAATGGAGCTTCTAAACACTACCTTCATAGAATTGTAGAGTTGGAAGGGGCCATGAAGGCCATCAGGTCCAACTCTCTGAATGCAAATGCAGCCAGCATGTGCCATAATGAGAATGCCAGACTTGTGCTATCTCTACTCCATCCATTTCTTGTGATGTCTGCACTAGTACCCTGAGAGCAGAAGGCCCTGAGTGGCAGGCAGAAGCAGCTGGCACTGGAAAATAAGTTCCGTAGCCAGGATAATGCATACCTCACCCTTGGCCTTGGCAGACTTTCCCCTTGCATTTCTAGTTACTGGTAAAAGGGTATTAAAAGAGTTGCTCCAGCTTAACCCCTGTGCCCACTTCCTATCCACTGATGGAGAAGAGCTAGTGATTGCCACCACCCTTTAACCCAGATGTTCAGTTTATAGGATCTACGTAAAATTTCACTATAGCCCCAAGCTCCACCAACCAGGGCCAGGTGCAAAAGGCAGAGATTTGAAACAGGGTGCATCCCTCCCAGGTTGCTTTCAGCTACAAAACAGAATTCTCAGTCCTTTCATAGAAAAATCCATAGAAAAATAATAGAAAATTATTAAGAAAAAATAAGCTCTCTTAATTTCAGCAGCCAAATCTAGGTGAGAAGTTGCTATTGGTTGAACAGTCAAGGAGTCAGGAATCTCTGCCAATCTACAGTAAATCATACAGATCAGCTGGTGGGTCCTGATCTATTTTCTACTCACCCCTTCTCTAATCAACCAGCAGATAAGCACAGTCACAGGATGAACTTATTACAACTCTAAAAAAGGGGTTTCCTATAGCAGGAAAAAAATTCTAGGTTTCTTATTGAACACATACAAAGAACCTCAAGCTGCAGTCATAGAATAGAGTTGGGAGGAGCCAAAGGATCATTGGGTCCAACCCCCTGCTCAGCGCAGGACACCAAGTTAAGCCAGATGGCTGCCCAGTCGCATCTTGACTGCCTCCAGTGTGGGAGAGCCCACAACCTCCTGGGGCAATTGGTTCCATTGTCCTACCGCCCTATTAGCTCTAATAGACTGGAAGTTCTTCCTGATGTTCAGGCCAAATCTGGCTTCTTGCAACCTGAGCCCATTATTCCATGTCCTGCTGGGATGATCAAGAAGTCTTTTCCTTCCTCTTTGTGACAGAATAGGACTGTTCGAGTACTTGAAAGTCTACCTCCTCTCAGTCTTCGTGAGTCTAAATATACGCAGCTCTTTCCATCTCTTCTCACAGGGCTCTGTCCAGTGCCCAGCTCATCCTTGCTGCCCTCCTCTGAACTTTTTCCAGCTTCTCTGCATCTTCCTTAAACTGTGGTGCTCAGAACTGGACAGTACTCCAGATGAGACAGAGGTAACTTGTACCCAGGGCTGATTAGTGGGGAACTAGTACTTCGCGTGATCTGGAAATGATACTTCTGTTAATGCAGCCCAAAGCAGCATTTGCTCTTGTTGCATCCACATCACCTTCATCTTGTGATCCAGAATTCCAAGATCCTTCTCATGTGCAGTACGGTTGGGCCAGCTATCCCCCATCTTGCAACAGTGCATTCGGGGGTTTTTCCTCCTAGGTACAGAACTTGGCATTTTCCCCTGTTTAATTCTGTTGCTTTCACTCCGGCATTCCAACCTGTCAAGATCATCTTGAATCTTGTTTCTGTCTTCTGGGGTATTAGCTATCCCACCCAGTTTTGTATGATCTGCAGATCTGATCATTGTTCCCTGCACTTCCTCATCCAAATAATTAATAAAATGTTGATGAGCACTGGGTCCATGTCTGAACCCTGCAGTACCCCATGAGTTTCCTTTCCCCATTTGAGAAGGTGCCATTGATGTTTCCAGTTTAATGCATGCACCGTATTGCCATCACAAGTGGATGTGGACAGGACTGGAGAATATGCATAACAGCAAAGGATGTTTCAAGTGCCAGATAATTCTTCATAAGAATATAGCTAAGGTTGTCAGTGGCAATACTCATCTCTGACAGTGGACCGAAACCACAAAGTGGTCCTATCACATAAAACAAGGGCCCAAGGCACTTGTGAGGGCCTACAGATAGGCTTCTATAACAAAAGACTAAAATGAAGCTTCCCCCAGTGCAGCGGTTTCAAAAGGTGCAGCCTTCTATCATGCAAACTAAGATGGCCACAGTCATTCAACCATGGAGTTGTCTTCATAGGCCAGAGCACTCGTTGGGTGATTTCCTGTTGTGTGGCATCCTCAGAAACCAGCTATTAGATGATTATGGCTTTGTGCTGCAAGTTACCTCTGGCACCCAAATATAGCATGCAGGCAGCTAAAGAGGGGTCTCAGTCTTGAAACTGCGTTATTTAGAAAAATGAATGTGAAGTTAGAGTGGCACTTTTAAAATAACAGAACACGCTGCAGAACTGCACTTGTTTCCTGCTCCAAAGAGCAGCATCACACACAGCAGTCCACCCCTACAGCCAGATGCTTTTGACTACAGTCCATATGCTCCTGCATGGCCAATAGTCAGAAAGGACAAGATGGGAGTAGTAGTCAAAAATGGCTAAAGAGTGCTTCCACTTTACTTTTCCTTTATACTGTAGTTTTAACCATACAAACCTTTATACTGTGTTTTTTAAATAATCACTGTTTTCCATTGTAATGATCCACCCACAGAGCTTTGGCTATTACCTGGTATAAAAAGGCGGTGTGTGTGTGTGTGTGTGTGTGTGTGTGTGTGTGTGTGTGCGCACGTAAAAAAACCCCATGTGCTTGAACCTGTTGCGGTTTATGTACCTGCAGCTCCCTCTGGAAGCTGTGCTTTAAAGTTAGGGTTTTTTCCCTTTTGCTTGGTTCAAGTACATAGAGTCATAGGGCAAATGACCTAATTTTCCTCTAAAGATATAGGAAAATCAACCACCAGGAAATGAGCATTCATGGTGGCTAATGTTACCTCACATATTCTTCAGTGGACCTCACTCAAAGCCATTTTATTTATGACGCACAACGGGGTGGTGCTGGTTGACCGTACCACATCAGACGGCTGAACTGGGGGCAGGAGAAAATCCTGTTTTTGAATGTACCCAGCCCACCCACTAAACCTCTGCCCTTGCTGTGTTCATTCATCATATCTGCTGCAGCATTCCTGCATCATTACACCATCTATGTGAAGGGCACAACATTGATCTGTAAACAGACCTGAGGCAACAGTGATGGCACAGTATAGAAAAGTTTTAAATAAATAAATGTTTTAAATAGATAGATAGATAGATAGATAGATAGATAGATAGATAGATAGATAGATAGATAAAGCAGACTCCCAGAATTGTGCTTTGAAAAGGCACCTTCTTGGATGCATGACTTTACATCCACCAGAGGCCCCATGTGGCACTAATCTTTCACTTGGCTCGCTTATGCACAATGATGCCACCTCAGCAGGATCCTGTTGTCTAACACAGCAGGTTGGCTTAACATTTGTTAAAGTGAAGTAATAGAGCTGGCCATTGAAAAAGGAGACCCTTGTAAGAACATAGACTCAAGCTCCATAGACCTTGCCAGTGCAAAGGTGGGTGGACATCAGCATTAGTATGGCATAACTGACATCAAGCATCCTCATGGTCCTGAAAGTAAACAGACTTCCATCCTTGCCCTTCAACTGGGAGGACAAAGGAGGCAGCTTACAGGCATGATGAGATGCTTTCTGATTATGCAGGAGTAGTGGTGCTGCTGAATTGAATGTAGTCATCTTGCATCTCCAATTTTACCTGTTTCAAAAAAATGCATTGTCTCCCACTGTGGAAAACACTGGTGTGAATTCATAGAATCATAGAATAGAAGAGTTGGAAGGGGCCATGAAGACCATCGGGTCCAACCCCCTGCTGTTGCGGGACACCTGCTGTTGCGGGACACCAAGTTACCCCATCCCACTCAGATGGCTGCCCAGTTTCTTTTTGAATGTCTCTAGTGTGGGAGAGCCCACCACCTCTCTGGGCAGCTGGTTCCACTGTTGTATTGCTCTGACAGTGAGGAAGTTTTTCTTGATGACCAGCCTGAATCTGGGTTGTCACAACTTGGACTGATTATTCCGTGTCCTACACTCTGGCATCAGCAAGAAGAGATCTTGATCTTCCTCTTTGTGACAGCCTCTGAGGTATTTATACAGGGATATCATGTCCCCGCTCAGTCTTCTCTTCTCAAGGCTGAACATGCCCAGTTCCCTCAGTCTATCCTCACAGGGCAGTGTTTCCAAACCCTGGATCATTTTTGTTGCCCTCTGATGGACCCTTTCTAATTTACCTGCATCTTTCTTAAATCTTGGTGCCCAGAATCAGACACAGTATTCTAGATGAGGTCTGACTGGTATATAGGGGAACAACTGCTTCTCATGATTTGGAAGTAATACTTTTGTTAATGCATCCCAAAATAGCATTTGCCCTTTTGGAGGCTGCATTGCATTGCGTTGTTGGCTCTTGTTTAGCCTGTTGCCCACAATGACTCTGAGATCTTTTTCAGTTCTGTTGAGCCACGTATTCCCCATCTTGTATTGATGCATTTGGATTCTTTTGCCTAGGTGGAGGACCTGGCACTTGTCCTTACTGAATCTCATTCTGTTGCTTTTCAGCCCAGTTTATGTTCAAGTTTACCAAGATTGTCCTGGAACTTCATTCTGTCTTCTAGGGTGCTTACTATTCCACCCAGTTTTGTATCAACTGCAAATCTGATTTTCTTTCCTTGTACTTCCTCATTAAAATAATTAATAAAGATGTTGAAGAGCGCTGGGCCCAGGACTGAACACTGTGGCACCCCACCTGCACCAGTTTGAGGAAGTGCCACTGATGAGCACTCTTTGTGTTCGAGTCAGCAGCCAATTTTGGATCCACCTACTAATTTTTCCATCTAGTCCAGTTTGTGCTAATTTTATTATCAGAATGTGGTATGGCACTATGTCGAAAGCTTAGCTAAAGTCTAGGTAGATTATATCACCAGAATTCCCTTTGTTCATTTGGGAGGTTACCCAGTCAAGAAATGAGATTTGATAAATCCATGGTACTCCTCTTAATCACTGCATTTTCTTTGAGATGCTTGTAGATAATTTTTTAAATAATTTTCTCCAGAATTTTTCCAGGGATTGATGTCAGACTAACTGGTCTGTAGTTCCCAAGTTCATCTTTTTTCCCCTTTTGAAGATAGGGACAAGATTAGTCATCTGGTACTCCTCCTGTTTTCCAAGTTGTCTGGCACTTCTGTTTTCCAAGATTTATCGAAGATAATAGCCAGTGGCTCTGAGAGTTCCTCCACTCGCTCTTTTATGACTCAGGGATGGAGTTCATTGGGCCCTGGATTTTTGAAAATATTTATCCATCTAGGTATTCCTTGACCATTTGTCTGTCAATCTTGGGCTGCCATCTCTGACTTCCAGCTTGTACTGCCTCTTGATTACAGATTTCCTTGTGGGAGAAGACTGAAGCAAAGTAGGAATTGAGCTCTTTAGCCTTTTCCTTGTTATCTGTTATCACTCTGTCATCCACTTTAAATGGCAGGACACCCTTCTCTTTCTCTTGTCTTTTGTTCTGGATGTATCTGAAGAAAGTTTTGACTCTGATTGGAATAATGTCATGTGTACCTATGAGCTATCCCTTATTCTGGACAAAATTTACACTTTCCAGAATGGCAGTGGACTTGATAGTACATTTCAAAAGAGTAAAAAAAAAGGGCTATGAAACAGGTTGTGAATGCCTACGTGAGAGGTTGCTAAAACCATGGGACTGGGACTTAGGTGATCTGGGTTCTACTCCCCACTCAGCCATGGAGTAAACCGGGTGACTTTGGGTCAGTCACAGACTCTCAGTCCAACCTGCTTCACAGGGTTGTTTATTATTTATTTATTTATTTATTAAAACATTTCTATGCCGCCCCATTCGCCGAAGCCTCGGGGCGGCTCACAACATTAAGTTAAAATACAAACATTAAGTTAAAACATTAACATACTATTAAGTTAAAATGTTTGTAAAATACAAACATTAAGTTAAAATACAAAAAATAACAATATAAAATAAGTCGCCCTGGCCAGATAAAATCAAATAATGTTAACAATTAAAATGACGCTTAAATAAAAAGGTTGTTGTATGGATAAGATTGAGAGTAGCAGGAGGAAAATGATGTGAGCTACTCTGAGTTCTTTAAAAAAGAAAAATGACAGTTTATGAATCTAATAAATATCAGTGGGGAGCCCTAGGCAAGGAGCAACCCCAGTACATTCCATATAAAGCTGTTATCCAGGTCATATGAAAATCAGGTGAGAAGCTAAAGGAGCGTATGTGTTCATCTGGGGCTGCCTATGGGTATACGGGAGTTGTGGGCCAAATCATCTGGAGTGCACCCATTTGGGGAAGGCTGCTCTCCTCCAAGCCTTGCCATGTAACCCTACTTCGGTGGCTTTCTCTTGCAGAGAGGTGCTGCAGATTAGTCCTGCAGAAGAGCTAGTGAACCTGCAGCGGAAGATGGTGCCTACTCACACTTTGGCTGCCCAGCAGGTGATAGGAAAGTCATACTTTGAGGACCACCAAGGCCTCAGCATAGTCTTTCTGAAGACCCACAAAACAGGCAGCAGCACAGTGCAAAATATCCTTTTCCGGGTCAGTGAACAGCACAACCTGACTGTGGCTTTCCCCCTCTACTCCTACCAGTTTGCTTACCCAGAGCGTTTTTCCAGGGCCTTCGTGGAGGACCTGCCACAAGGAGCTGCTCACTTTGACTTGCTCTGCAGCCACATGAGACTGGATGCTGGGGAAGTACGGGCCCTTATGCCTTCCCCTAGCATCTTCCTTACCATCCTGCGTCACCCCGTGCAAACATTTGAATCTGTCTTCCACTACTACCGCAACATGGTTCCTGCCTTCCAGCCAGTGGCTAATCACTCCAGGCCCCTTCTTGCTTTCCTTGAGGCGTCCGCTCGATATTACAATGCTCAGGACGTGAGCAATGGGCTGGCCAAGAACCCCATGGCTTTTGACCTGGGCCTGGATGCAAGCCAGGAAGAAGAATCAAGCAACCAGTGGCTCAGAGAGCTGGAGAGGCTCAATCAGACTTTCCAGCTGGTGATGATTGCAGAGCATTTTGATGAGTCTCTGCTGCTAGCACGGGAATTATTAGGGCTAGACATGGAAGAGCTAGTTTATGTCAGGCTCAATGTCCGTCATAAGGAGGAAGAAGAGAAGCCGCTATCTAAGGCACTGGCCCAGAAAATCCAGGCTTGGAACTCATTTGATGTGCAGCTCTACAAATTTTTCCAGAGTATTTTCTGGCTCAAGGTGGAGCGCTTTGGCTATCTGCGCATGAAGCGGGAGCTAGATGCCTTCCGGATGCTGCAGCAACAAACTGTGACTAGGTGCTTGACAGGGGAGTCTGTCAGACCGGAGGATGTGGCTGATGACCTGCGTCCTTGGCAGCCAGGCAGTGTCACTATTCTGGGCTATACCCTGAGGCAGAACCTCACCTATGCTCAGCACAGTGCCTGTTTCCGCATGGTCTTACCTGAGCTCCAATATCACACTTACCTTTATTACAGGCAATATGGAAAAGACATGCGCCCTCTCCCTACCAGATAGAGGAGATCCCAGCTATTATTGTGGAGGTGGGCATATAAGAACCAGTCCTGGTCTTTTATCAGTGCCTCCACCCCTTGATTTCAAATGTCTCACCTATTCAATGAAGGAAAGGACCTTCAAAGTTTTGCAAGATACAAAAACAAAAGATCTGATGGCCAAGTCTAAATAAAACCCACAGAAAACCTCTCCTGGAAATACAAAGTGAACACAGAACCAGGAGGGGCAATTTCTAATTTCAGATCTGTATATTAGATCCCTGTAACACATTGTAGAGGTGGAAACATGGCTGATTGGAGACCTTTCTTATGAGTGTTCTTCTTTTAGTACCAAGATTCTGCCACCTCTCCAATAAGCACCACAGCAGTGAAAGAGGGGGCAGCTTCTGATTCCCCGCCTGCCTGCCTGCCATGGGGTCAATATAACAGCTCTGCTCGCTCCAGCACACAGGAGGGCAGGGTGAGACCAGGAGGAGACATAGCTACATGATCTGGGTGTGGAGAGGCATGGTGGAGCTGTTCTAATAAAACCAGGCTGTATCCTGGTCCATCTATTCTTCCCTGTCAGCAACAGGAATAAATACGAGGTGTGCCCAGGAAGTAATGAGAATGAAGTTCCTACACTTGAAAAGGGTTCTGTGAAGGGAGAAACTGGCCAAGGTTGCTTGGGGTGGGGTGCCAGGTATACAGTTGCATTCCAGCCCTGCCAGAGTCGAGACATTCTTTTTGTGACACCCTGTTCAAGGGCCTCACATTAAGAATAATGCAAGCTCGTTTGGGACAGTGGTATGCAATAAAATTGTGGGAAATTGGGTAAAAGTGCATCAGAAATTTTCGAAATGGTGAGGAAACCTTATGGAGAAGTTGCGCAATCATCTGCACAAGTGTACCAATGGCACAAGTTCAGATTGGCTCAACTTGGATTCTTCATCACAACACACCGAGTCACAGTGTCAGAGAGCTTTTGGCTGGAAAACATATCATAGTGCTTCCCCATTCACCCTACAGCCCTGACTTGGCTCCTTGAGACCTTTTCATCTTCCCAAAGATGAAGAATGATTTGAAAGGACACCATTTTGGTAGTGTGGATATCATCCAAAGAGCCATTATGCAGGCTCTGAATGCCATCCCACTTGAAGACTTCCAGGGATGCTATGAAGAATGGAAAAATTGCTGGGACTGATGTGTGTGTTCAGAAGGTGCATACTTTGAATGAGACAGTGTTCAATGGTAAATTTTTTCAATAAAATAATTTTTAAAAATATAATTCTCATCACTTTCTGGACACACCTCATATATATTCTCTCCAAATGGAAGGTTACACTGATACATCAAATCTGGGCTTATATTTAAAAGTTACAAAAACTTTTTGGGTAGTAGAGGGGACATGGGGAATTATAGGCCAGTTATGTCCATTCTGGGAAAGACAATGAAACGGCTCAGAATAGTGAGAGATCTAGTAACCCTAGATAGGGAAGGGAGGTTGGCAGCCACACAACATGGCTTCTGCAAAAACAGGTCCTGCCAGATGAACCTTGTAGATTTCTATAACAAGGTTTCAAGGTGGCTAGACAGAGGGGACACGATGGATGTGGTTTACCTGGATTTTAGCAAGGTTTTTGACAAAGTGCTGCATGATATCCTGCTTGAGACATTGAGGAGTTTTGGGATAGACCAATGCACTGTCTGATGGATTAGGGCATGGTTGACGGACCAAAAGCAGAGGGTAACCATTAGTGGGGAATCATTGGGATGGCAGCCAGTGATGAGCAGGGTCCCCCATCGGTGACATGCACAGTAGGCATGTCATGAGTGGAGCCACTTGTAGCTGGGGTTCAGACTAGATGGCCTGGGAGGACCCTTCCGACTCACTCTGTTTCTATGTTTCTATTCTCCTGCAAACCTTTGCTAGATATGCCACTAGACCAAGTGTGAATACGACATATGCAAGAGTTAGGGTTCAAATAGATCCATAACAGGGAACATTCTTGTCTTCTCTCTAACCTTTTGCCTATTTTGTGCTCATTTTGGGAGCTTTTATGCTCTTAATTTTGGGGAACATTGTAAAGTACAGAAGCCGTATGACATGTAATAGTAGTTAAAATATTTGCTGTCATTCCTTCTCTCAATAAACTATATTTCGCTAACACTGTAAGTTGCAATACATCTTACCAGCATGAACTATGCACATTTAGTGAAAGAAAATGGGCCTGATGTGGCCTACTGGCTAGTGCAAGGGCATTGGCCAGATTACCCAAGTGACACAGTGGACCAAGAGGCTTGTCTTGGGGCACCATATCAGTTTTATTTTAGGCAGTAATCTGCTCTCATCAGAGAAACCTCACAGAGCAGCCTGGACATTGAAATGCAGTGTTTCTTCCACACTCATCAATACACACACATACCACATAGTACTTCTGCAGGCCAAATCTGTTTGACCTGCACTGTCTTGTTGAGTTCAATGGGGATTTTGTCCTCAGTGTTACCAGTGAGATACTGGCAAGATACTCTTCCTAGCCTGGCACCATGCATGTTTACTCAGATGTAAGTTTCACTGGGTTCAAGAGGACAGACATCTTTGCATTTCTGTGGTTGGCAAGCAGCATACTACCACTGAATGCAAAATGGTGCCCTAAACTGAACTGTCATGCACTGAGTTGAAGCCTAAGTCAGGATTCATCAGCTCCTGTATCACAGGAAAAATAAATCTCAGATAGATGGTGAGTGAGGAGAAAAACAGGAGGAAATAGTAAAGGGCTGATATATTACTATATTAGTTAAGTGATTTATATACAACTGAATAAAGTATCTTTGGCAGACATATCTGTAGCAATAAGGTATAGAATGAAGACCTGAAGAAACAAAGAGGAAGAGGTTGCAGATTATCTAGAGTGGGGTGGTCCAACACGTGGCCCATGAGCTGCACAAGCAGCAGCTTGTTCCACAGCTCCCTTGCTGCTCAGAGCCCCCTGCCATCCCCTCCGCAGTCGATTCCAGCAACAGCATGAGCATCCTTGTGGCCAGCTCTTGCAAGGCAGCCAGCCCGTCTTGCTTTCTCCTTCAGGAGAGAGCGGGATGGGATGCTGGCCTCAGGAGAGTTAGTCCCGGTATGCCCTGCACTGCTCCAGCCGATGAGTGCAAAGGCACTCAGGAGCCAAGCACCTCTGAGCTCATCAGCAGGAGTGGGCGAGTCATGCTGGGAAACTTTCACTGGCTCAAGTACAAGAGGCTCAGCACTCCAATTCCAAGTAGGCAGGCAGGGCTGGGGGTCACATGGGAGGGTTTCTGGGCCAGAGGAACAGGGAAGAAAGGGATGAGCCAACCATTGTGCGTGGGCTGCAGTCACTGGAGGAGCTATCCACATTGCATTCTTGTTCATTCAATTAGTCCTAAAATTAATTCTCCTTTTTAAATGGTTATATTGTGTATATAAAAGATATTGCAATGTACAATATGGAATTTAATTCATTATGTGCCCCCCAGGTTCCTCATGCAGCCCTAGAGGTATGAAAAGTTGGATCACCTTGATCTAGATCCATTTCACTCAGGCTTTAGGAACAGTTTTAGAATGGAAACTGCCTTGGTTGCCCGATGCTGGGAGAAAGACGGGGGGAGTGCAGCCCTGTTGATTTATGTAGTCCTCTTAGCAGGTTTCAGTACCATCGACCATAGTATCCTTCTGGATAAGCAGGCTGGGTTGGGCAAAGGAGGCACTGCCTTGCAGCGATTCCACTCCTACCTGACCCACCGATTCCAGAAGGTGGTGTTGGGGGATTACTGCTTTGTGCCACGGTGAACATGGTTCCATTTTATCCCCTACATGAAACAACTTGGGGAGGTTATCCAGAGATATGGGCTGAGGTATCACCAATATGCAGATAACACTCTTTTTCATCAAGTCAGGCAGTGGCCACTCTGAATCAATGTCTGAGCATGGTAATGGACTGGATGACGGCCAACAGAGGTTCAACCCAGGCAAGAAGGAGGTGCTGTCTGTGGGTGGCTTGTCTGTTGAGTTGGCTGATATTCCATCTGTTCTAGGTGGGGTGGCACTCCCCCTAAAGGACAAAATTCATAGCTTGGGGGTGCTTCTGGACCCAGAGCTGTCATTTGAGGCATAAGTGGACTCTGTGGAACAGAAAACCTTTTATCAGCTTATCTGATATACCAACTACAACCCTATTCAGACAGAAAAACCCAGATACAGTTACCCATGCTCTGGTAACCTCTTGTTTGGATCACTGCATTGCGGTGTATGTGGGGCTGCCAAAACAGGGCAGCAAGATTGTTAATGGGGACTGTCTCAAGAGAACACATTATGCCAAGTCTCCTCCAGTTGTACTGGCTGCCAGTTGATATCTGGGCCTAATTCAAATTGCCAGTACTAACATTCAAAGCCCTAAATGGGGCCAGATTATCTGAAGGATCACCTCTTCCTATATATATCTACCTAGAAGCTAAACTCGTCTTCGGGAGTCCTTCTCCAGGAGCCCCTCCCAGAGGATGTGAGGCAGGTGGCTACTAGGAGGAGGGCCTTTTTTGGAGTGGCATCCTGGTTTTGAAATGAGCTCCCCAGAGATGTGCTTGGCACCTACTTTGCGTTCTTTTTGGCACTGGATGAAGATCTTCCCCCCCACTCAGCATTTTAACCAGGTAACTTTTTAACTTTGTTTTTATATATCCCATTTATTTTTGTACTGCTTCTGTGTTGAATACTAACAATTGTAATTATGGTTTTGTTCTTTGTTAAAGTTTGTTAATCCCGTGTAAAATTTTCAGGGAGCTGCTGTGTAGAAAAGGGGGGCAGGGAAGTCTCCTTTAGCCACTCAAGTTGCACTGACCTAAATACCTGTTAACCTAAACCCCTGTTGGACCCCAAGGTACCAAACCCTGCCCTAGCAGCTCTTCCCCAGAAATACAGCTCCACGAATTCTGTGAGTAGAGGGAATGAAGGATGCTTAAGTCTGTGGTAAGAATACACCCTCTGGCTTCTGTTAAGGTGAAATACATGTTTGAAGTGTGAAAAGGCAGCCAGTCTTCATAACTAAATTTCATGAAATATCAAGTAGCCATGGGGCAAAAATGACTCGTTGAACTCAAGGAAAGCTCTATGTACTTGGAGGAACTGTAGGAATCCAGCAAGCAGCATCCCAAAGCAGCAGCAGCTTCTGTGTGGTAGGCTCTAACTACAGCCTACAAACACCCTAGGATGCGGCTAGGCAAACAAGGATTTTCCCCTTTCCTGCCTCAGAAGTCACATGACAGACACATTTGCTGCAGTTGCAGTCCAGATTCCACATGGGGGGTTTGTGTGGAAGTAGGACCACTTCCCAATGTATTTATGAGGTGTGGCAGGCCAACGATTCTATAAGCAATCCCCAGACAAGCACTGTTTTGCAGACACATCCCAGGTAACATTTATTGACTAAAATACAGGGCATGCCTCTGAAGGAAATCTCTCAGCAGGATTCTGAGTGGAGTGTCATCCATACAACAAGCCTGGCTGACCACAACTACACATACCTGAGTTTTGAAAAGCATACAAAAGGTGGGAGAAGAGCACTTAAGCCTGCCATCATAGTGCCCTCGTTGTCAGTCTAACCTTCTTTCTTGAAGTCACATTATGAAGTTGCTTGAGGGCGGTGGGAGAAAAGACCCTGATGAGGTCAAAGAAAGTGCTTTGGGGAGGAGTGGAAGTGTGTTGGAGAGAGTGGGGGGGGGGGACTCAAATATACCCAATGGGAAGTATATTCCTTTGCTACAGCCCATTCAACCAGAGTGCATGGGAAGTTTACCTGCCAGATAAACTGAATTTACTTGTCCACCAGAAACACCGTCTACTCAAACATTGCCTCCATCTGAAGGGAAACTCCTCCTCCTGTGCAACAATACTTATTATTCAAGCTCACATGAGACACCAGCCAACCAGACCCCTCACTTCGGACATTCCCCTCCTCCTAGGTCCTTTAGTCTTCACCCTTCTCCTGGAGTGAATACAGGCTTATCTCTGCCCATACACATACCTCAATTTAAAATAAGATAGGCCAGGCTGTGCCTTCTCCCCTTCATTACAATGGCCCGAGAGCGAGACAATTCTAGCCCTGGTGTAAAGAAGCAACAGCAGATGTGGAGTAGCCATGAACCTCAAGTCTGACAGACAGCAGCAACTGAAGGATTAATAGCCTGTTCCTGAGTTCAAGAATGGACACTCCAAATAGTTAAGATGCCTTGGTATCTCAGCAGAAAAGAGAGAACCTGAAACTAGTCCAAAACCACCACCTCCTCTCATGTTAGCTGCCCACTTTAAAAAGGATTTGCAATCATTTTAGTGCTAAATATCTCTTGCCCCTGTTCAGCAGGATGGCCCAGTGTCATGACTTCCATCAAGTAGCAGTTTTTAAATTGGAACAGGTTTCCACAAGTTTGGTGTCCTCAGCACAGTTCATGTTCAGTCTCTCCTATGAGGAAGAGCCACGGTGCCACAGACTGGAATAGCAAGGACTGTTACTGTGCAGATATGATACAGATACCTCTTCCTTAGACCTAAGAACCAGGCAGCTCCACTTTGGGCCTGCATTATCTATATAAATAAAAAATAAATAGTCAGAAGTGTCGGGGCTGCTCGATCAGCAATCATAAGACAACAAATTCCTCCATGGTAGCCTTTTTTGTCCTGCCACGCTTGCTGGGCCGTTGGACTTGCACTGTTTGCTGGGAAAACCGGGCACACAACTCCTCCAAGCCATACTCCTGAGAGCAGCCCTCCACAATTGAAAACATAGGATACCTCTCTTTGGCGGTGGCTGTGTTTAGGACCTGCAAAGGGAAAGAAGAAGAATGGTCACATAGTTAATGCTTTCAAGGCCTTGTCATGTAAACTCTACAACAGTCTAGAGTCACATTTCCAGCTCTGTAGTTCGGGTTCTGTTTCATGATTTGGAGCAGGAGCACATTTCTATGAAGATGGAAAAATTAGAGGGATGATGCCCCTTGTTTTAATTCTCATTGCTAACAAAAAATACTGGGGGAAAAGGCTAGTGAACAGGAAACTCATTCAGAATCCTCCATCATACCTCTTTATCATGTTCACACCAGAAGTTTCTCCATTTTAACATTCTGCAAACACAGTCCCTTCCCAAAATTCTGAACCAGGGAGTTCTATTGAGTCCTTACAATAATTCAATGCAGCCCCAACTAGCAAAATTAAGTCTGCTATAGTACACATCCAGGAAAGACTTTGAAATGTTTCCAGGAAAACCTAATTCCTCACCTGAGTCAGTTCCTGGCACAGATGTTCAAATTCTCTTCTGTGACGAGCATAGAAGCCAATGGTGCAGCTGGGATCCACTTTGGTGAAGGCTGTTTTCCGGGGGGAGTTGCAATGGAAGGACTGGAAAAGAGGAGTCAGCTAAGGGTGAAACTGAGTGGCCCATCTTGCATTAAAGCTGACCAATAACAGGACTACTAGTGCATTACCCAGCCCTGCTCCATCCTCGATGGAAATCCAGAATTGAACAGATTTCAAGGACAGTTACAAATACAAACAGGATGAGAGAGACACAGTTTGGTTCTGGGCAATCAAAACCAAGAGCATCTCCCACCTAGGAACATCCTCCAATACAATCATAGAATAGTAGAGTTGGAGGGGGCCAGAGTACCATCAGGTCCAACCCCCTGCTCAGTGCAGGACTCCAAGTTAAACCATGCCTCTGTCCAGTTGATCAATGGCTGTCCAGTTGCTTCTTGAATACCTCTAGTGCACAACCTACCATTTCAAGAACATCTCTCATCTGAAACGTGTTCTCCCATTTTTGTTGAATGGAACCAACAATAGAGGCTGAATGAGACTGGCTTCCCCAGGATCATATAATGAACCATGGTAGAGGTAGGACTTTTTCTACCCAACAAGGGTAGAACTGCTAACAGCAGTTCTGGAGTAGATATGGTAAATTTCAAAGCCTCTACCTCTTTCAGTTTTAAAGGAAAAAAATGTGAAAGTTTTCCAAGTCAAATACAGTGGTTTGAGGTTTGCTTTAAAAAAGAGAGAGAGAGAGAAAAATAGAAAAAGAAAGTTTTGTTTTATGATCGCATTCTAAGGCTTGACCATCTGAAGCAGTTCTTAAATTTGAATCACTATCCTGAGAGCCCTGTTGAAAGTGGTGAATTATGTTGAGAAAGAGATAATTTTAATAATTTGCCAGACTATTTTCAATGGCTTTCAAAGTCATGTAGTAGTTCAGAACCACAGCAATTTCATCCTGTCCCAGTGCTATGTAGAAGGGACAACTGAGCTGCTAAAATCCAAGAATGTCCAAGCCTTGTTAACCTACCTGTGTTGTGCCTCTTGTTCTCTCAGTTAATACTGTGAAATATTAATATTGAGGCCAAGGTAAGCCTTTAAGTTCTCAAAACTCAGGCTTGGATGGAAAAAAATGAACACTTTAACCTACACATACAATTAACCGAGTATAAGATTAAATTCTTAACATACATACAGACCCATCTCAAATATCATGCTATCATATCAATGGTATCTGGGAAAGCACTTAACACCAGTCATAAACCTACAAAAATGATTCTTATAAACCACAAGCCCCTATCATACAGACCACCTTATGAATCCTGAAGAAAGTTTCTGTCTGAATTTCACTTTTTCTACATTTCTGAAGGCTTTTGCTTTGTGTCACTGTCCCCATCCCCACCCTCACCAACTATTTTACAACTTTTTGTTTGGTCCTAATAAGATACTAGCATATCTTTGTTTTCTTTTTTATCCCTATAAACCAAGCAAGTTGTACTCCGGCCCAGTATTTAATTTACCTTACTTAAAGATGCTATCACACCCTCCCACATTGAGCAACACACAACTATGCCTTGCCAATTTAAGCTGCCGACTCCTCAGCAAACAATAAGGCTCCCTAATTGCCACTGAGATACTTCAGATGCAAGGACATATAGCTGCCATCTTACTTGCCATCTTTCCATACTATCCTAGAGATCAAATAGATGCGCACCTCCAGGGAAAAGTTCTCCTTGGTGGTGTCCACAAAGGGCTGGCAGTAGTGGGGGTCCAGGTACAGAAGGGAGTCATCTAGAAAGCAAAGGAAGTAGGAAACAAAGATCGGTGAGGAATCCTGTTCTGCGACTGTGATTCAAGTCTCACTGCAGACCCAAAAGGAAAGAGAACATGCAACATCCAACCCAACCTGTGCGCCCTGCCATTTCAGAGGCCAAAGTGGCTCAGAGGCTAAAGTGGTTCAGATGCATCTCTGTTGAGTAACAGTTTGCTCCTAAGCAGAAACCTGGAAGCACATTCAGAGATAAAAGTGACTGGCTCATTTAGCTTGTCAGGTGGCATACTAGGTAATAGGAAGATGATCAGCCATATTGCATCAAAAAGGGAACACTCTCAGAATTCAGAATTCTGACAACTTTGCTCTTGTCAGTCAAGAACCTATCAACATACTAAGTGGCCACCACTTACTCCTTTCTTTCCTGTAAAAGATGTTGTTAAAGCAAATCTGATAAGTAACAATTCCATACGAGGTTTAAAGGAGTATCTAGAAAAAAAAAGTCTTTTAATTTCTCTATAACATTGACGGTCTCCCTCATTTAATTCCAATTTATCACTTAACCCAGTATTGTGTGCTCTACTAGCATTTTTAAACTTAAAAACTTAAATTTTTAAAATATAAATTAAATTTTAAAAATCCGTTTCAAAGTAACAAAGGTTGCAGGGCACCTCAATACCAGAAAGATGGGCTTACAAGCAATTAGTAGCTTGCCAAACATTTTGCAGAATATAGCAGTCACAGAGAAACCAGGGCTTCAGTAATTGCAGCATGAGGTTATTAGCACTCATGTTTGCAGATACATGTTTGAAACTATGTTTATTTAATGCCAAATCTTCAGTTGCTCTATTTGAAATGGCAACTTCTGGAGGTTGTGGGGGAGCATATTGCCCCCCTAGAACTTTCCTTATTGCAGCTATCAAAATTGATAAGGAACTTGGCATACATAAGCCCCCCATGCTGCCCACCCATGATGTATATGTTAAATGTTATTGCTAATATATGGTCCAAATTTTATCCAATTACACAGGCTGCCAATTTGCATAACACGACTTACTGGTTATTTATTTTGAGACAGATTTTGGAAATTCTAATTAGGTTTACAGCTACCTAACACTGGAATAAAGCAAGGAAACATGTAATAAATCAACACTTGAGAGGAAGAAAGGAAAGATTTCTGAAGCTCAGTAGCGAGTCTGTCACCTTGAAATCCAACAAAGTAGAGTGAATGCTTTGGTTTTCCTCCAATGATTCCAATGCAGAAATCTAGCTTCAGAAGCTCCTGTATGGTAAGACGACAGAGGCAGGCTCTTCAGAATTTAATACCATCACCTTTGACCGGTTCTCTCTCTATGTGGTACCCAATGATTGGACAAAGTTCTGAGGAAGATGCCAGGTGCCTACTTCCAACCACTCTGAGCAGGACAAGAACAATGCAATTATAAGAAAATTTGGTTGGAAGGGCTGGTCGTAGCCAACCACATTTTGCTCTCTGTTGCTCCTAACTTGCTCAGTTGCATGAGAGACAGTTTCCCTGATTTAGTTACCTAACTGGGTACTTCTTAACCAGTGGCCTCCCAGAAAACACTTCCTGCATAGAATGTATACAGTTCTCCTTATAGAGCAGTTTCATTTTCATTCCACCTGATGCGGACAAAAAGGTGCCACACTATGGTCTCTTTCCTTCATTGTACCCAGCATGGGAAAAGAATGAGACATCAACATGGATTCCCTCAAGCTCTTGAGATCCACCATCAGACACCTATTCCCAAGTCACCTTGACACACTCCACGTAGGCAGGGTTAAAAGTCTCTCCACCCAATCGCATGGGCACCAGGATGATGACTGCTTTCCACTCTACACCAGCATCCCATGCGGACCTGCCTTCACTCCTGTTGGCCAGGTTTGCCACATCCCCTTTGTACACTGCAGGGGTACCAGAGAAGAGCATTAATTCATAAACCATGGGGACTTCAGCCCAGCTGCCTACACTGTGAAGCCCAAATGGGTGCTTCATGACCCCCCTCCCCCAAAAAAGGCCTGCTAATCTCCTTTTACCTGTGCAGTCCTGAGACACATATACCACCAGATTGCCTGCTTCTGAACAGCAATCCACTGCTTTCCTACAGGAACAAGACGGGTTTATTTTAGGGAAGCATAGTTCTGTCAAATTTGCCTCCCAACCCCTCTCTCCAGCCAGCAACCCCCTTCAAGATCATCCTCAAAAAATTTCATGAAAAAACATCCTCCAAACAACGCTTAAAATCCACCCAACCCCCCAAACAACTCTTGGTCAGAACGTACTGATGCCAAGAAAGGCTTCCCATCTTCCTTGAAATATCACTGACTTCCTGTGCCCACCTACTTCTCACCTGATGATGTGAGCAGCAACAGAGGGCCCATACCAATCCCCAGCTTTCTTCCCTGAACTACGCCCCAGATCAACTAGACGGTGGATCCCAAAGGGTGCTTGAGGCTGATCTGCAAACCACGAGACAATCTTTCGGTGATAGCGTTCATTCTCCAGTTCATCAGGACTACAGGTATGCTGAGCAGCTTGTAGCTCCCAGGGACTCCTGCTACCATCAGTGGGAATGGGTGGATCATGATGCAAATTGGCTGTGTTGGGGCAGGGTAGGGAAAGCAGTTTCACAGGAAGCTCCGTCTCTGCCACACGGGTGGTAAAAAGGGCATTTGGCCAGATCCAGTCTGAAAAGTGGAACAGAAAACCAAAAAAAGGCCATCCAACCTATTGACACAAGCTACTTATGTCAATACAACCACATAACTTTGACATCACAAATTCCCACCAACTGCAACCACATTGAAGAAAACTGAATGTGTGGCCATCCACACTTCCTGATCTGGCTAATAATTGAGGGGTGATGGAGAAATCCGGTGCCATAAACGCTCATGTGAGATCAATTGTACATTATTCACAATGCTTCTCCTCTGTTGCTCCAGTGGGGATGGCAGGTGCAACTAAGTCATAAAGGCTGTTGGACAAATGGTTGGCTCAGTACAAACTGTCATGAAGAGCCATAGAAGCAAAATACTGGCACGCAAATACTTCCTCTGCATGCTTGGAGATGGGCAGGGGGAACTTCCTCCTCATGTCTCACACCCACCAGACCACTCTCCTGACACTCACCTCTGCTAAGAAAATGGACAAGGAGGCCTTGCGCCAGCAGCATCTGCCCACTGCGTAGCATGCAGCCCCAGCCACAGTCTGTGGTCCACATAGTTCCCTCCAGCTGCTGAAAGTCCCGGCGATAGGTCAGCCAGATGCGGGAAGCGAAGTCTTTCTGGAAGCCCTCCACATCCTCTGCAAGGCAGAATAAAGTCTGGCTGGGCTGAAACCCTTTGTGGATGTGCCCAAGAGGTTCACCTTGATAGCTGGCCACAGGTTCCCTCCATGCTCATCAAGGAATTCTGGCAGCCTTAGGATGCCTCTGAAATCCCAGTTCCTAACTATAAGGTGACCTTCCAGATGTTTAGCCAAGAAAATACTCCTTCAAAAGTTATGATACATGAACAGGAATCAGAACAAATTCCCTTTCGCAGGAAGCTGCAAGATCCAGGATCACGCTTTTAACATTTTGCCTTTGGACCGCTCAGGACTCTTGATGCGAGGGAATTACAGTGGTACCTTGGCTCATGAACGCCTCAGTTCATGACCAAATTGGGTTGTGAACAGAAATGTAATAAAAATGTTGACTCAGGTTGCGAACTCTGCATTGGGTGGTGACTACGATCGCAGTCATCTCCCCACTCCCCGAGTGGGGAGATGGCCACGATTGTGCTGGGGGGGCGGGGGGAGATGGCCGAGATCGCACCCGTCTTTCCTGCATGAGCGGCCTGTGATTGTGCCTGACTTTTCTGTATGAGCACAACCACGTTTGCACCCGTCTCTCCCACAACCCGAGTGCACTGGGATGATGGGCGCATGCAGGGATGACGGGTGAGATTACGGTCGTGCTGGCTGGGGGTGAGGAGATGGCCGCGATCTTTGTTGCTCTTTGTCACTTTACTTCACATTTTTCTGATTTAAAAAAAAATAGTTACAGAACAGATTAAATCTATTTACATTGAATCTTATGGGGAAATTTAACCTGGCTCATGACCAATTTGGGTCACAACCAGAATCCTGGAACAGATTAAGTTCGTGAGCCAAGGTACCACTGTATTTCTTCCTTCCCAAAAGGACTGTACATATGCCTCAAAGGAAGGACATGGGACCAAGTGGGGAAATATGTGGGGCCCTAATTAACGTAGTGATGTGTGCAGGGAAATATGGTATTGGGAGGAAGGCTGGCCAGGTAAGGGGCACATAGCCCAGAAGGACTGCCATTATCAGCCTGTCCTCAGATTGCTAAATGCTGCTTCTGAATGCCAGATCAGTCCACAAAAGGACTTCCTCATCCATAACTTAGGAGTTGATGAGGCTGCTGATCAGGCATGCATCACTGAGACCTCAGTGGGCAAACAGGGGGGATTTAATCTCTCCCAGTTCTGCCTGCCAGGGTACTTGGTACAGCATCAAGGAAGACCTGAGGGTCAGGGAGGAGGTGTTGCTCTGGTCTACAGGAACGTATTTTCTTTCCGCCCCCTCCTCCAGGCTCCTTGTCTGACAACTAGTTTGGAGTGTTTGCATCTGGAGACAAATGAAAGATTCTGTTGGTGTAGTGCCCACTATACAGACTCCCAGTCTCAACAGCCTCCCTACCTGAGTGGACAGAACTGGCCAGAGTTGCAATGCTGTGGTTCCCAAGACTGCTGGAAGTTAACACCCATGTTTATGCTACCTTATTTGGGGCAGCGCGGGATTCCATGACCATCATGGGACTGTCCCAATATATCATCAGCCCAACATATGTAGATGGACACCCTACATTTTTTTCAGTTGAATGTGGACATAGTGACCTGAAGGTGGGGGACTTCGAATTGATGTTTTTGTTATGGTCAGATCAGCGCATGCTGAGAGACCAATGCCATCTTTTCCCCTCTGCAAGGCGGGCAGCTAATTAAGTTGGTCCACCCTGGAGGCTAAAGAAGCTGGATAGATTTCAGATAGCCCTTGAGGAATTTCTGGCTGATATGGCTGGTGGTTCTATCAAATTATGGAATGCAAAGATGACTCAGGCAGTTGCCACAATAGCTCCTGAGCACCCTCTTTATTGCAGAGTTGCTACAGCTCTCAATGGCAACTTCTCAAACAGGGGAGAGGTAATGAGGGGCGTACTCCAGGTTTCATTCTTGGGCCCAGCACTCTTCCACATCTTTACCAGTGATTCAAATGAAAAGGCATAGGGAATGCTTATCAGATTTGCAGATGACACACAACTATGTGGGATAGCTAATGCCCTGGCAGACAGAAGCAAGATTCAAGCTAATCTTGAAAGGTTGGAGCACAGGGTTGAAAACAACTGAATTAAATTAAATAGGAGCAGGTAAAATATTCTCGGTGAAACCCTTTTTATTCTCAGTGCTTGGTGAAAACCTTTTTATTTTCCCAGCATTTTAACAGCCATTTTTTAACTTTAGTTTTTATATTATATTTTATCATGTGCTGTTGTATCTCTGGAGCAATTTGGTTAAAACTAGGGTGGATAAAAATCAATTTTTTTAATATTAAAAAATAAGAGTACTAGAAGCTGGGAATTCACGAGGGCCAACTTTGGTCAGTTGAAGGCCAGACTGGGGAAAGTCTCCTGGGAAAGGGTACTGGAAGGCGAGGGAGTTCAGGAGGGTGAATGCTGCTAAAAAGGGAGGTCTTGGAGGCTCAAGCCTTAACCATACTGCTAGTTAGCAAGGCAGGGAAGTGAAGGAGAGCCCCACCATGGATGTAAAGAGAGGTGTTAAGAGGGATTGGTTGTAAGAGGAACCTCCATAGGAAATGGGCACTGGGGCAAGTAAACAAAGGGTATACTGGGAGGAGGAGGCCTGTTGCAGAAGGATTCTTCGCAAGGCTAAGGCTGATTAGGAGCTGAGGCTTGCAAAGAATATCAAGGGCAACAAAAAGGGCTTCTGTCAACATGTAAACAGCAAGAAGGAGACAGGTGGTGGGATTGCCTGATAAGGAGGAAGGAGATTTGGTGACTGCTATGAGGGAACAGGCACAGATGCTAAATGACTATTTTGCCTCTGTGTTCTCCCCAAAGCAGGATGGCTGCAGGTTGTAAAACAGACCTGGTTTGGGAATATTTTAATGAAGTTCTTCTATTTATGGGTAAGACAGGCATGTGGTGCAAAACCATGATTTACATCTAGTCTTACTGACTACTGATTTAAATCAAATCCACCCTAGTTAAAACTGTTGTGGTTTTCTTATCTTAGTGTTTTATGTCTTTTTGTTGCATGTTTTTGACTTTCCTAACCACCCAGAGAGCTTTGGCTATTGGGCAGTAGAAAAGGGAAATAAATAAATGTGTCAACAATGTAATGTGGCTGTGAAATGGGCAAATGCTGCTGTTCTGGACTGCATTAACAGAAGCATCCAGAACTTCCAAAACACGTGAAGTACTTGTTCTCCTTTGCTCAGTACTGGTTAAGGCTCATCTGGAGTACCATGTCCAGTTCTGGGCACCAGTTTAAGAAAGATGCAGATAAGCTGGAAAGGGTTCAGGGAAGCACCGTAAGAATGCTGTGGGGACTGGAAACAAAGGTGGACACGTTTACCTCAAGAAGAGAAGACTGATGGGTGATATGATAGCACTTTTCAAGTACTTATCTCTTCTTGATCATCCCAGAGGGAAGGGCATGAAACAGCAGGCTTGAGTTAGAGGGAGCCAGATTCCAGCTAGATTACAGGAAGAATTTCCTGACTGTTATAGCAGTATGGCAATGAAACCAATGCCAGAGAATTTGTTGGCTCTCCCACACTAGAGGCATTTAAGATGCAACTGGACAGCCATCTGAGAGGGATGGTTTAACTTGGTGCTCTTCACGGAGAAGGGGGGCGGGTTGGACCCAATGGATTTCTAAGACCCTTTCAATTCTACTATCTCTCCGTTTTAGTGCATTAGGCCGTAGATGTGCTAACTGGTGCCTGGCTATGTCAATGAACTGCATAATAAACAGTCCAAACAAGGCTGAGATGCTGCTGGTATGTAGTTCCTCTGACCAAGCACAGGGTGCTCAACATGCTCTCTGTGGAACTGCACTTCCTTTGAAGATTCTCCCTTCTTGATCCATCTTTGTCTCCTGAGGCCCATATTGCTTCATTGCCTTTAAGTGCTTTCTACCAGCTTTGGCTGGTGGTCCAGTTATGCCACTATTTGAATAGGAACACTCTAACAATCTGTAAACTAGAGTACTACAACATGGTCTACATGAGGCTGCCCTTGCACTTTGGAAGCTGCAACTTGTACAAAATATGGCAGTTATACTCAAAACTGAGTCCAGATGGCCCTAGCATATAAATCCCATTCTGGTCCAACTGCACTGGCTCCCTATATGCTTCTGAGCCCAATTCAAGGTGTTGGCTTTAGCCTATATAGGTTGAGACCACAATATCTGATGGAATGCCTCTTCCAAGCACAATGCACCCAGATACCACACTCGACAACTGAGGCTTTCCTTCAAGAAAGGTTCAACTGGTAGCAACAAGGGGGAGGGCCCTCTCTGTGGCAGCCCCCAAATTATGAAATGATCTCCTTACTGAGGCCCACCAGGTGCCAACTTTACCATCTTCTCAAAACCAGGTTAAGATTACTCTCTTTGCTGAGGCATTTACCAGCTCCAAGTAGCACATGGGTGAAGGGGTGGAAGCATTGCCAGCATTTTTACAGCAGGGAAAGCAGTATGGACTGGTTTTAGATGTTTAGTTGCAAAAATGAGTTTTTAATTTTTATTGTTTTATTTGATTATGTTTCGTTGATGCTTTATTTAATATTGTATCTTATTGTATTTATATTTTTATTCATTCTACTTCTATGCTGCCACATAACCCAAAGGGTTCTTTTAATTTATTACTTTTGTTCACTGGTCAGAGAACTCTGATTTATTGAAAGGACAGAAATTAAATAAGTAAAGAAACAAACAATTCTTAATTAAAAATCATGAAGAGCAAAAAAAGGCAGTCTATGGGACATGTGAGCTAATTGTTCCTTGGTCAACAGCAGGCAGAGTAAGAAAGGGCAGGCTGAGAAAAGCAGCAGAAGACTGCATAAGAGGATTTCTAGGCCTTGGCCTTGAAAAGCTACCTGTACTCTTGTGGCTTTTTTCTGTTAAGAGAACTGGCAACCCCTTCTGGAAATCATGCTATTAGTGATACAGCAGTGGCAGAGATGGAAGGTTTTCACACCAAACTGATGGTTTCAGAGGGCAGGCAGGTTGCTTGAAGGAAACTTGGAAAACCACCCCAAAACAAAACTAAGCTTGAACTCTGTGAGACCCCTCCATCCTGACACCAAAGTCACTCACCCTCTTGTCCAAAGTTGTATCGATGTCCAAAGAGGTAGACTGGGGAAAGTTTGCTGAAATTGGTTTTAGTCTTGACTGTCCATCCTGGGGAGGAAAGGAAAAGACGTCAGAAAGGCCCAGTTCATTTCCAGCTGTCACAAAGAAGCAGAAATAAGAGAGACCTTTGCAATGACCAGTGGCAGCCAGACAAAGACTGGGTAATAAGAAGAAAGGGAGGAGGCTACTCAACTCAACTAAATCACACGAAGCTCAAAACAGCTGTCTGTGGCCTTCCCCCATCTGCATCTTCTGCAGATGGTTAAGGAGGCCCAGAATGGAGAAGGACCAAAGGAGCTGAAGGAATAGCCAGGCCATGCTCCAAGAATGGTACTCCTCCAGGATAGGGAAGAATCAGTAATAAGAAAAACAAAAATATTCACTTTTTAAAAGAAATCAAGCCCTGGTTATAGTGTAGTTGAAAAATTAGTAGACATATGTTAAATGCATTTAAATATAAAAATTAAATTTCTATTTAACCCAAACATGTATGTGTAAAAAAGACAGCATAAATTGCTGTAAGCTACCCTCACAAAATTTGGGTTTGAGGCAAAGTTCCATAGTCCACCATACCTTACTAGACACAAAGCCTCACATGCCGTTGGAGATGAAGGGCTTGAAGAAAACCACAGCCACCAGCAAGCAGATCAGAGAACTCTGAATGCTTTGAAGAAACAATGAAGGAAGGAAGAGCTAAAGACTCAGCTGGAAACTCTTTCCCTATCAAACTCTAGCCCAGTCAAGCTAAGTGTGACATGCTCATGCTTTCTGCCTTACATAAAACTAAATTTCAACTTTTAAGAGCAGGTAGGTTAGACCATCGATTGTCCCATTTGTGAGCTGGGACAAAGTCAAAATACTACATGCACTCCCAGCAGTTCGAGAGCCACTTCAATGTGGTACAGTCTAGTGGCATTCCTAGAGTAAGGTCACCAAGAGGGCAGGTCTGATCACAAGGGCCTTTGTCAAGGAACTGGCATATCAATGTCCTGCTCATGTGGTGACATATTTAACAGTATGCTTCTGCTGATCGGCTTGCACTGTGTGAAGCAGATTCCAGAGTGCTGCTTATGATGTGAAGAACACCTTAAATGTTTTATTTTTTGTCATCCCTTCAAAAAAAAGGGATTAAAAGCAACCTTTGTTGCGACTGTCCATTCCTTAGCAAGCCTGAAAGAAGCCATATAGAATTAGAGAGCAAAGGGTTAACCAGAGGGGGAGGTTTGGGAGGGGGTAGCAGGTGGAGAGACAAACAAGGTAACAGTGGCCTTCTGCCCACAGCACAGAAACAGTAACGACAAAAGTTACATAAATAGAAAGAAAACATCTTTTCCTGACCTCTTGGAGTAGTTCTTTTAGGGCACAGGGAGAAAATGGAATCCTTATTTGTAAACACACCCACACAATCATAAAATATTAGGACATTTTTCACTAAGCCAAATATGTGCACATGCTCATTTAGCCATAGTTGTGGCTTCAGAATCTTAGCTGATTTAAAGATGGTAGTGGGGAGATATTATCAGACCCAGAAAAACACGGGTCTTATTATTTGCAAGCTTGCTATCAATAATTAAATGTTTGGTTTTTTAAAAAGTTTTGCAGTCTACCTTGGAAAATCACAGGTGTGTGTAGACTAGAAAATACCTGCTGCATACAGTTACTTTCTTGGAGCATACCTTCTGGTCGCTTGTTCCACACATTATTACTATATATATTAGCATATAAGACAAGCCTTGAAACCAAACATAGCAAAGCAAACATTGGGAGTTGTCTCATGAGCTCATGTATGGCAAATAGTATTAAGAGATAAGGTTTGTGGGTAGATTAAAGACATTCACAGTTTCTCTGCTTTTGTAGGCATCCTGTGTCCCTAACCTCAGCAGTTGTGGAGGTCCAACTATATAGCCAAAACCAAACAACCCACATTTGGGAAATATATAGATGGATGTTCAGCCACTACTACATCTCTGTTCAATTTGCGGTGAAGGCCTCATTCCAAAGTAAAAGAAAAACAAGACAAGCAACTGGTCCAGCTGATGTTCTAGAATAGGAGTTGGGTGGCATCTAGCTAGATATCAGATTTTTGCCTTCTATGTCAAGTTGCTTTCCAAATGAAACTGAGAGCCATTTTCAGTGGTTTAACTGCTAGTTAGCCTTTGCCATGAGGGCTACAACAGATCTGGAGCCAAGAAAAAATTCTGCCATCCGCAGCAGCTTAGAACTTCCTAGCTCACCCTGGAAATTCAGGGCATAAAGATAATGCATTGAAAAAGATAGGATGCCTTGCTAACCAATGAATTTCAAAGGAACTTTTCATATTTAAAGATTCTTCAGTATCACTGCTGTCATAGAATTGAATGTCATAAGATGCAGAAATAGCCTCAATACTAACTCCCTTTAAGATTTTTGAATTGGTCAAGATGAATGACAAGCACATGCAGGATCCTTTCCCTTAATTCCCATGCAGTTTCTTTAAGTCTGACTCACCGTATTTTACATTGTTCCAAGTAGAGAGAAGCTTGCTTTTGATTTTGTCCACTTCGTCAGGTTCACTCTGCTGGCTGTGGGCGGCACCTCCTCCAGGAAAGAGTCCTTGGTAGCTTGCTCCTTGCCTGCTGGCCCTGGAATTAAAAAGCTGTCTTCCATCTGAGTGGCCCAGCTCATCCTGGTTTAAGTACTGCACTGAGGTGGGTGACACGGAATTCATTTAACAACAGGGGCCAGTGTTGGCTGAGTCTTCTCTCAGGAGCTGGGATGCAACTTCCACAATCATCTCCAGGGAAAAACTGCAGAACTATCAGATATAAAGTATAAGTCTTACTAGCAAGATATTATAAGAAGCACAAAGACACAGGACATCATTTCTAAAGATAAATATTTGTAGCAAGACTCCTGTTCTTTCTACCCTGTCTACCTCATACTAGCCATCCCCACCTGCCTTGTCCAGATATCTCACTCTCTGTGTTGAAACAACAAGAAGCCTCAGGGGGCAAAAAAGGAAAAGCCATTTAAGAGATGCTAGACAACCAGAAAAACCAAATGGGGCAATGATATATAATTCATCAAGCTTCTGCCCCTTCCTCAGGCAACAGTTCCTAATCCCAACTGTGTTTTAATAAAATTTAACAGAGTTAAGAAAGTCCTGATAGAAAGCGATTGCATACATTCATATAGGCTGATTAGACTACTGGAAGAGAAAAGAAAGAGCAAGACGAGTCCATGACTCCAAGGACAATCTCTGTCCCCTTTATATAAAGATTTTAGTTTTCATCATTCCAGACACTAGGCAGTTGTGCTGGATGGAGCCACCTCCCTCTCCCCAAATTGAGCCTTGGGAAGTAAGAAACAACATCCAGCAATTGTAACAGCTCATTTCAGCATTGCAGCTGAGAGAGAAGAGGTAAGTTCAAGTAAGACATTGCCAAACTGGTATAATGCCATGTCAGATATCCTTCTGAAGGGGATCCAGAAAACAAAATTACATGAAGATAGATGGAAGTCTAGGTTTCCTATCTGAAGAACTTAACAAGAAATGAGTAGAAAAGTAATGGTATTGAATTAGCTTAGGATAACAAAATACCAGGGAATGTAATGCTGAACAACTGTACCAAATTCTTCTGTTCTTGAAGATTTCCACGTCTTTGTATAGAGGAGTATGCCATATCACACCATACCATACCATGTCATACGCCTGCGTCCGGAGGCCGGTTGCCTCCATATTTCGTTCTCAGGAGAGACTGTTGCCGCATGTGCTTGTGCTTGTACTGCCAGCTTGCCCCCAATTCCTCCAACAGCCCCCCACAGGAATAGCAGCAGCAGCAACCCACCTTGAGGAGCTCTTGGGACGAAAGGCAGCAAGGGCTTCCTCTTTCCACACATCAGTCAGAGAACGCCGCAGCCCTCGAGGAACCCTTATCTGGGGCCTCTTCTTCCCACCCGCCAAAGCCGAGCCTCGACAACACGAGCATCCAAGGCGCTCCCCCGGCAACCAACGCCAAGACCAGCACGAAACACCTTCCCTCCGCACCGCGCCTCACCCGACCTGGCCGGGCACAGGATGGATGGTAAGGCTCACCCTCGGCCAGCCGCCGCCGCCGCTGTTCAGGCCATCGTGACTTCCAAGCCCGCAGTAGCGGAAACAGCAATCACGACAACGCCATCTTAGAGTCCAGTAACAACTGAGCCCACCCTGCTTTGGGCGGAAGTGCATCTTTGCCCTCAGTTGGTCACGCGAAGTGCTCCTCCCAACGTGCTCACGATCTAGAAATTAGAGTGGTACGTGCTATCGCCTGCTTGAAGTGCAATTCCTATTTCAGTCGGCTTGCATGAAAATAAGGCGAGTCCAAGCCCTTTGCATTCAATTGAACGGTGTTCCTACCCCTGTTACAATGCCACATAGTTTGTACAAACGTGGAATGCGTGTTTTTGCTGCTGCAAAATGCTACCGACAGAAATGGAACCGAAAACACTCTGGCTAAATCTGAAGCACAACTACGAACAATTTCAACAAGATAAAAGTGTAGAAGGCAACACAGAAAGCCCTCGTGGTTCCACAAAAAGTCAAATGACAACCTGAAAGAAAAGAACAACATGTTCAGGAGGTGGAAGCAGGGCTAAGCAGCAAAGAAAAATATAAACAAATAGCAAGTAATTGCAAGGATGGCATAAGGAAAGCTAAAAAGGGAAATGAACTGACAATAGTGAGGGATGCTAAGATCAAGAAAGCCTTCTTTAGATACATCCAAAACAAAAGACATATGAAAGAGTAAGGTGTCCAGTTACTTAAAGTGGATGAAAGAGTCAGAACAGACGACAGGAAAAAGGCAGAGGAGCTCAGTTCCTACTTCTCAGTCTTCTCCCACAAGAAAATCTACAACCGAGAGGAAGTACAAGCTGAAAGTAGGAGATGACAGCACAAGATTGACAGTCAAATGGTCAAGTAACACCTAGGAGGAATAAACACTTTCAAATCTCCAGGGCCCAATGAACTCCATCCTAGAGTCATAAAAGAGTTAGCGGAGGAACTCTCAGAGCCACTGGCTGTTATCTTCGATAAATCTTGGAAAACAAGAGAAATGCCAGCAGACTGGAGAAGGGTTAATGATGCCCCTATCTTCAAAAAGGGGAAAAAGATGAACCTGGGAATTACAGACCAGATAGTCTGACATCAATCCCTGGAAAAAATCTGGAGCAAATTATTTAAAAAATCAGTCTACAAGCACCTTGAACATGCAGTGATTAAGCAAAGCCAACATGAATTTGTCAAAAATCCTGGCAGACTAATTTTGACTGGGTAACCCCTCAAATGGACAGAGGGAATACTGCCGACAATCTTAGCAAACCTTTCGACATAGTGCTTCATGACATTCTGATAAGCAAATTTGCAAAATGCAGGCTAGATAGTGCAGTCTTGCTAGTAAATGGGAGCGTGTAACAAAGAGGAAAACAAGTTTGTGTGTGTGTGTTTGGGGGATTAAGGTGAAATAAAGAGGAAAGGAAAGGAAAGGAAAGGAAAGGAAAGGAAAGGAAAGGAAAAAATGTTGGGGAATTCCCCCTTGATCTCCTCCATCAAACTCCTATTTATTCTCCATGGTCATTTGCTCCCTGGGAGCTTGGCACCTTGTATCCCAGAGGCCCTAGTCCAGCTGGGGCAGCTTGGTTTGCTTGGAGTCAGGAACTTGAATGAATCACCCCACCAAACCAACTGTTGCTAGCTGATCAGCCTGCTCCTCTTCCGTTAATCAGCAATCAGCTAATCTGGACCTTCCCTTCCATTGTCCCTTAGAAAACAAAGGCCTTGGCTGAGCTAGTGCAGGCTTGCCTCTGTCTCCTCTTTCATTACAACTCCTCCACCAAACTCCTGTTTTCTCTCCCTGTTTGCTCGCTCTGGTTGCTCGCTTCCTAGGAGATGTTTTGCAGAACATCTGCCAGATTCCCTAGTTTTGGCTTTCTGGACTTCAGTCTGCATTGCAGCCCAGAATCCGAGAGTGCATGTACCCAGGCTTTGTGCCAGGAATTGCACTGGCAGCAGCAAGCAGGGGGGAAACATTGGCTGCCAGGAATGGCAGCTGGCATGCCCACCTGTTATGCCCCCTTTCCCCAGCTGTTGTCACCGGTGGCACTGAGTAAAAAAGAATGTTGGCCACCAGGAATGGTAGCTGTTCACTGCCCCGCTTTTTCCTGCACGCTGTCACTTCTGGCAGCAGTGAGTAGGGAAGACGTTTGACTGGCAGGAATGGAGGCTGGGGAAGGTTGCCAGTTGTCCAACGGGGGGTCCATGAGCATTTGTGAATTTCCTCTTGACTTGGCTTGCTTTCCAGGCCCAGGATGAACACTGGAGGAAGTCTGTGGGTGCTAGAGAGACGGATTCTGAAACCCTAGTCAGCATGCAATGTAAACAAGGTTGTTTCCATGCAAAACCAGGCCTGGCGATTCTTGCTCAAGAACCCTGCCCAGGAAAGGAGCATTCTCTACTGGCCTTCCAGTTAAGGTCTTCCCAATCAAGAAAGGATATCTTCAGAAGTGGCATGAGACCACTCCGTCTTGCATGGCAGCGTTAATCACCTCCCTAGCCTAGCTGGTTGTTCCTTCTTTGTTGGCTTTTATAAGCCAGGAGAGTCAAGGATTCAATACAGAGATGGTTGCATGAATCCAGCCAAACACCTTGCCAACATCCCTGAGCTGTACTAACTAAAATTCATCCAACAAAACTGTGCTCTGGATATCTCAACAGATTAAACTACTTTAACTTGGGAGTCTAAGTCCAGCAGATGCAAGAGAATGCTTCCCGGAAGTGTTCATCAAATATATTACAGTGGATCTCAAATGTCTGTGGGGCCAGCAGGTAATAGACACTGGATGATCCTAAAAGCTCCACTAGGTGGCAAATGGGAGATTGCATAGAGGCATGAGATGTTCCTTCTTACCTTTTAATATAAGAAGTGCCTTGTTGAGTCAGATCAAGACCCTCCCAGTTCAGCATTCTTTGTAAGAATTCCAGGTAGCAATGGGTACCAAGTCACCCACTCTTCTGCCTTCTCCAACTTGGTGACCTTCAAATGTGCTTGTGACTACAACACCTATTATCCCCATAAGGCTGGCCTACTCTTATATTCATTTAGTCCCAGTTTTAATCTTTTCTGGGAATACTGGTTTCTGAGAGGCAAAGGACTACCTAGTTCTGCTGTAAATAGTGCAGGAACATCACCTTACTTATGAAGCCCTCAGTTGTTCACGGAGGGGCCAGAGCATTCATGGCCTAATTTTAGGTCACTGGCTTTTTCTTAAGAGAAACTGGTTGGGTTGGCCAGCCAGTGGTGAAGTCCTTTGTCAATGGGAGCTTAGTAAGGTAACCTTTCAGAGCAGCAGCACGACTCTTACCAGTTCCCACTGCAGCACTCCAGTTCTGCTCCCCCTGACATTCCTTTCTTAGCATTGCAACAATCCCACACTCAAATAAGTTCCCAAAGAATTGCAAGATGTTTACAGCAAGTGGCTGCAGACAGACCCAGGTAAATGCACTGGGAAAGCCTGCAGGAACACCAAGAAGTTTGGAAGAAACCACACAATATAGAGGGGCTGATACATACTTAGGCTCTGTTAATTATCTTCCAGGGTGCCAACTGCCTTCTGAACGGACAGGCACACGGAGTCCAAATTTCCTCTATTTAGTACAATTTCTCTTGGAGTGACAGGAACAGCCTTCCCACATGGGTGTCACAGAGAGGGAGAGAAGAAGAGGGCTGGGACCAATGCCAAGACCAGGGTGTGGTTGGCCCAAACAGCGCGTTTGAACCTGCAGCCTAGGCTTGCCTGTGAAGGAACAGGTGAGAGCAGGGTTGGAGAAACTGCCCTAGGGATTGGTACAGGCAGAACCAGTTCAGCAAAAGGCCAATCACTACAAAACAGGGCCGGGTCCTTGACTGCACAGATAGGAAAATGCAGGTCTATTCAGGCAACAGCAACTTCATCACAAACCCAAGTTGTTGTTAGTCACAAAGTCGTGTATGACTCATCACAACCCCATGGACAACATTCCTCTAGGCCTTCCTGTCCTCCACATCCCCTGGGGTCCACTTAAGCTCACGCTGACTGCTTCAGTGACTCCATCTAGCCACCACATCCTCTGCCATCCCGTTCTTCTTTTTCCATCTATTGTTTCCAGCATTAGGCTCTTCTCCAGTGAGTCCTTCCTTCTCATTAGGTGGCCAAAGTATTTGAGTTTCATCTTCAGTATCTGGCCTTCTAAAGAGCAGTCAGGGTTGATCTCCTCTAGGACTGACTGGTTTGATCGCCTTGCAGTCCAGGGGACTTGCAGGAGTCTCCTCCAGCACCACAATTCAAAGGCTTCACTTCTTCAGTGCTCAGCCTTATGGTCCAACTTTCACAGCCATACATTACAAGTGTGCTCAAAGTACAACAACACTGAATCTACAAGAAAGTCCATTCCATATTGGCAGCAAAATTTAATCCCGAACAGCCTTCATCAATCTAGTGTTCTCCAGATGCTTTGGACTACAGCTCCCAGAAATCTTGAGTGTTAGTTATGCTACCTAGAGATGGCGGGAGCTGAAGTCTAAAACATCCAGAGATTGGCAACTGGGAAAAGACCTTTGGTCTGGTCCAGCAAAGCTTTTCCTAATATCCTCTTCTCTACCTCAGAAGTAAAATATTTTGAATTCCTGTAAATTATGCTTATTCTGCAAATTATGCCTATCACTCCAGTCTATTTAAACAGTTTATTCTAAACCCAAACTTCAGGGTTTTGCAGAATTGGGGACATTTTGGCAGGAAGAGGTCTGGCAAGGAACAGCATGAGTGTGGGGTGGTGTATGATTAGAGTCTTGAATGAAGGAAGCTAAAGTCCCACAGGGCTGTTAGGTTCTGTCCACTTTTGCAGAAAGCAGCTTCACAACAGGCTTTCGGGTGCATACACTTCAAGTATTCTCACAACTGGAAAGCCAAAGTGCTTTGTCAGCTCAGGTGATTTCTTGCCAGCTGCTAATGGGGCCCCCAGACTCACAGCTCATTCCATCTTGTGTTTGTTTCATACACGCAGCATAGCGCAGA